GAGGCTGTAGGGAGGCAGGTGGCGGTGCCAAAGCCCTAGGCTCCAAATCAGGTGGCCACGTTCTGTTGCTGGTCCTGCCTCTCACTGGCACCTTACGGGCTTGTCATTTTTTTTTCTCAGAGCCTCAGTTCCTATATCTATAAAGTGAGGAGATATCTATAAAGTGAGGAGGACCAGAGTTCTTAGGGTTCTAGAGCTCTAAATCTGTAAGAGGGAATAATTACTGCAAATCTCCTGGCAGGTACTCAGAGCTATTAATTCTTGACCACTCGCTGTATGACCCAGGCACAACCAATTCCATGATCATTCCAGACAGACATTGTCATTCTAAATGCCCTTTCACTGTCTCTCTTTATTCTGATGGTGAAAATGGAAGTTCCAATGGAGAAAAAAACAGTGACGAAGTGTTACCATGGCAACCTTTGTGAATATCTTCCTGGAAAATCCACTTCACAGCTCTAAGACTAGTAGCTGAGATTTCTTGGTTCATGGATCCAGGGGAATCTACAGAGTCCATGAGGAGAGAGACAGAAGTGGTTGGAAGCAGTCGGGGAATTGTGGAGGGATCCTAAACAACTGTGTTCTTCCTGCAGGACATGGGAATTTGTGTATTTGTTCCCTTTGCTGTTGGCCCTTCTGTGCACTCCTTTTCTTTCCTTTTTTCTTTTTTTTTTTTTTTCAGGGGGGGAGGAAGGCAGGAAGGGAGGGTAGAAGGATGGTAGGGAGGAAGGAAGGGATGAAGGAAGGAAGGAAGGGAGGAAGCGGGGAGGGAGGGAGGGAGGGAAGGGAAGGAAGGAAATCAAGCAATGAGAGAGACATTGCTGACCTGGATCTAGAGGTTTACAAGTTGATTTCTTTTTTTTTGAGAGAAGGAAAGAAAAAAAAAATAAGTAAAGGAGAGGAAGAAAGAGGAAGAGAAAGAGGAAGAGTAAATGGAAATATTGCTTTATTTTGAAAAAAATTGGGTATTAATAATGGCCCATCAATGTTTCATTTAAACTTATGGGTAGGTGTGATGTGGTATTGACAAGAATGTATATTTTGTGTATTTGAAGTGGGGAGCTCTATAAATATTAATTAAGTTTACTTGTTCCGGATCTGAGTTCGAGTCCTTGATATCCTTATTAATTTTCTGTCTCATTGAATCTAAGTCTCGTATCTGGGTGTTAGGATCGTTAGCTCTTGTTGTTGCATTGATCCTTTTACCACTATATCTTTGTTGCTTTAAAATCTATTTTATCCGATATGAGAATTGCAACTCCTGCTTTTTATTTATTTATTATTTATTTTTGCTCTCCATTTGGTTGGTAAATCTTTCTCCATCCCTTTGTTTTGAGTCTTTGTGTATCCCTGCATGTGAAACAGGTCTGGATGTAACATGCCATTGGGTTTTGGCTGTGTCTTTTGATTGGGGGATTTAGTCAATTTAAATTTAGGGTTACTGCCATTTGATGTTGACCGGCTGTTTTATCCATTCGTTGGTGTAAATTCTTCTTTATGTTGGTGCTCTTTACTTTTTGGTGTATTTTTAGAAAGGCTAATACTGGTTGTTTCTTTCTGTGTGTAATGCTTCTTTCAGAAGCTCTTGTAAAGCAGGCCTGGTGTTAATAAAATCTCTGAGTTCTTGCTTGTTCATAAAAGATTTTATTTTTCCTTCAGTTGTGAAGCTTAGTTTGGCTGGATATGAAATTCTGGGCTGAAGGTTCTGTTCTTTGAGGATGTTGAATATTGGCCCCCACTCTCTTCTGGCTTGTAGAGTTTCTGCTGAGAGATCTGCTGTAAGTCTGATAGGCTTGTCTTTGTGGGTAACCTGACCTTTCTCTCTGGCTGCCCTTAGTATTTTCTCCTTCGTTTCAACGCTGGTGAATCTAACGATTATGTGCCTTGGGGTTGCTCTTCTTGAGGAATATCTTTGTGGTGTTCTCTGTATTACCTGGGGTTGAATGTTGACCTACTTTGCTAGTTTAGGAAAATTTTCCTGAATAATATCCCGAAGGGTAATTTCCAGCTTGGATTCATTCTCTCCGTCGCATTCAGGTACACCTATCAAACGTAAATTTGGTCTTTTCACATAGTCCCACATTTCTTGGAGACTTTGCTCATTCCTTTTTATCCTTTTTTCTCTAATCTTTTCTTCATGTTTTATTTCATTAAGTTGGACTTTGACCCCTGATATCCCTTCTTCTGCTTGAACAATTCGAGTGTTTAAACCTGTGCATACTTCTCGGAGTTCCTGTATTGTATTCTTCAGTTCCATTATTTCACTCATACTCCTCTCTAAGTTGTCTATTCTCAATAGGATTTCATCAAACCTTTTTTCAAAGTTCCTAGTTTCTTTACGTTGGGCTACAACATGTTCTTTTAACTCACCAAAGTTTGTTATTATCCATTCCTTGAAGAGTGATTCTGTCATCAGGATGCGCTCTTTCTCCATCAAGCCTTGTTCCATTGTTGATGTGGAACTGTGATCATCTTTAGAGGGAGAGGTGTTCTGACTTTGAGTATTCTCAGCTTTTTTACGCCGATTTCTTCCCGTCATTGTAAATTTATCCTCCTGTCTTCTTTGAAATTACCAACTTCCAGATTAGGTCTCTTGAGTGGACGTCCAGGTTGTTAGTTCCCAGGGCCAGAGTAGCGGCGTTAAAACTGATGGTGCTTTTCTGCCCAGGATTCTCCTGTTGGGCTTCCTTCTTGTGTCCGTAGTAGACGACTCTGCCTTCCCGGGGCTCCAAACCTCGGTCAGAAGGGGAACCGGTCCGCGCCGAGCGCTGTCGCGCGGAGGTGCCATCACAGCCGCTGCGCCGGGCTCTGGTGTCCTGCTGGGGACCAGTGCGGGTCCTCCGAACCTGTTTACTCTGCTCCGAGAGCTGCCGCGCGGAGGTGCCGGCGGAACCGCTGCGCCAGCCACGAGAGTCGCTCTGGCCACCCGTGTGTTTCCTCCACTGGGGGATCTTCTGCTCCGTGAGCGACCACAATTTGTCTGAAAGTGTGGTGTCCTCTAGTTCTCCGCGCTTTCCCTGAGAGCTGCAATCCCGGGATGTTAGCGATCGGCCATCTTGGATAGTTCCTCCCCTTTTTTCTTTTTGAGATGGAGTCTCCTTCTATTGTCCAGGATGGAGTGCAGTGGCGCCATCTTGGCTCACTGCAACCTCCGCCTCCTGGGTTCAAGTGATTCTCCTGCCTTAGCCTCCTGAGTAGCTGGGACTACAGGTGCACACCACCATGATCGGCTAGGGTTTTTTTTTTTTGGTATTCTTAGTAGAGATGGAGTTTCACCATACTGGCCATGCTTCTCTCGAACTCCTGACTTGGTGATCTGCTTACCTCGGCCTCCCAAAGTGCTGGGATTACAGGTGTGAGCCACCATGCCTAGCCTTTCTTTAGAACACCACCAAATCAACACAACAAACCATTGGGGGAACCACCTATTCCTTGATTCACCTCTGTGAATCTTTTACTTAATAAGACATGGAAATTGAATGCATTAAAGACTTAATTTTTAGAATGTAACCTATTAGCCTTAAAATATGATTTAATATCTATAATCAGGATTCAAACGCACAAGCTGGAGTGCAGTGGTGCAATCTCAGCTCACTGCAACCTCTGTCTCCTGGGTTCAAGCAATTCTCCTGCCTCAGCCTCCTGAGTAGCTGGGATTATAGGAAAGCACCACCATGCCCGGCTAATTGTATTTTTACTAGAGATGGGGTTTCACCATGTTGGCCAGGCTGGTATTGAACTTCTGACCTTAGGGTGATCCGCCCACCTCAACTTCCCAAAATGCTGGGATTACAGGCATGAGCCATGGTGCCCCGCCCCATCTCTATTTTTAAAAATGCATATTTTAAGACTGGGCACTGTGGCTCATGGCTGTAATCCCAGCACTTCGGGAGGCCAAGGTGGGTCGATCACCTGAGGTAAGGAGTTCAAGACCAGCCTGGTCAACATGGTGAAACCCTACCTCCACTAAATACAAAAAATTAGCTGGCATGGTGGCTCATGCATATAATTCCAGCTACTTGGGAGGCTGAGGCAGGAGACTCACTTAAACCTGGGAGGTGGAGGTTGCAGTGAGCTGAGATTTCGCCATTGCACTCCAGCCTGGGCAACAAGAGCGAAACTCTGTCTAAAAAAAAAAATTACATTTTTTACTTCTTTTGTAGAGGAAGAGAAGAGATCCCAACATTCTTCCACTCCGTCTTTTCAAAACACAGGTAGAGTTGAGGAGATTGGTCCTATAGGGGTTTCTTTTAACTACAATTGACCCTTCAATAGCGTGGATTTGAACTGAGTGGATCCACTTATACCTAAAAATTTTTCAACCAAGGGTCAATGGAAAATACAGTATTTGTGGGATGTGAAATTCACGTATAGGAAGGACTGACTTTTCCTATACTGAGTTTCTTAGGGAAGGACTTGAGTGTGCATGAATTTTGGTTTATGTGGGGTTCCTGGAAACGATCCCCTTATTTACTGATGGATGACTATATAGTTTCACATAAATACTAAATCTGCCACTTCACCATCTTCTTTCCTGGTGTTTTTCTTGCTGGCAACTGTGAAATAGTATGGACTAGCATCCAACTCCTCCTCCCACGACTTTTTATAATGACAGTCCTCTCTTACTGATTTGTAATTGGCTGCTTTATATAAAAAGGTGGTTATATATGTATCTGAACACTTTTTCCCCACCTTGCCTTTTATCTCAAACTTTTCTTGTTTAAATTGTTTATATGTATTTTATGTTAGTGGGATCTTTCCCCGTTACATTTCTTGGTGGTTATTATAAGAAAGCTATTGAAGGTCTTATGTTTTAGTTCCTTTCTGTCTTTTTAGGAAGTCGTATAAGGATGGGATTTGAGACCAGCCTGGCCAGCATGGTGAAACCTGTCTCTACTAAAAATACAAAATATTAGCTGAGGGTGGTGGCCCATGCCTGTGAAGAAGAGCAGCAGTCTGTTGGTATGAGATATTTGAAGTGTTTTTGTTGAATTTTTTTAGGAAGTAGAAGAGTTTTTCTGTGGGGTACAGGTGGGTTTTTTTTTTTTTAAGCCAGGGGGTGTAGCTGGGGGTGGGTATCATAAGGTCCAGCATCACAAGGTTGGGTTATCAGTTAAAGCAGGAATGATTTAGGCAGGAACAATGGTGGAATGTTGCAAAGTTGGTTAATTGGGCTCTACGGGAGCAGCCATTTTCCTTCTTTTTGTGGTTTTTCTGTTATTTCAGATTCTCTGGCTCCAGGAGGCCATCCAGAGGATACGTGTGGGTCATAGAGGTCACCATGGCCTAACTGTGGTACAGCCCATGGTGCAGTCAGTTTAAAAACCTTACACCGACCTCAGGAGATCTGCCTGCCTTGACCTTCTAAAGTGCTGGGATTACAGGTGTGAGCTACTGCATCCTGCCTGTTTTACTGTCATGCTGGCTGGAGTGCAATGGCGAAATCTCAGCTCACTATAACCTCTGCCTCCCGGGTTCAAGAGATTCTCCTGCCTCAGCCTCCTGAGTAGCTGTGATTAATGCGCATACCACCACAACTGGCGGCTTTTTTGTATTCTTAGTAGAGATGGGGTTTTACTATGTTGGCCAAACTGGTTTCGAGCTCCTGACCTCGTAATCCACCTGCCTTGGCCTCTCAAAGTGCTGGGATTACAGATGTGAGGCACCACACCTGGCCACAGTGAACTATTATTTAGGCATTAAAAATGTAATACTGATAAATGTTCATGGATTGCAAATATAGATTGCAAATGACTGAAGCAGAGCTGATTACCATAGTTTTGGGGAAAGCTCTGAGCCAGCAAAGTACAGGGACCCTGAGAAATTGAGAAATGCACTTGATGTGAGTCACCGGCAGCACGCACACATCACAGTTGCACTGAAACTAGACAAACCGAAGGGAAGGGACATGGTGTGCCACAGGCATCAGCTATAGAATCCATTTCCGATTTGTCCCTTGCAAATTTCTCCAATAACAGACTTAAAAATTTTTTTCTATAAGAATTGAAAGACCTACTTACCCTGACCTTGGGTTGACTGTTCCAATGGAACACTTCCAAATCTTCAAACTGATATCCCCAATACCATGGTGGTAGAGCAGGCCTTCATAAGTTGACTCCTGAAAATTTACTACTCCCAGACCTACTTCTCAAAGATGCTGGTTTGATTAAGGTAAATTTATCAATGGGATATAAGACATTTACATAAATCAAAAATCTTCCAGCAGTGATGGCCCAAATTTGGATGAGTCCAGAGCTCAATGATATGGACTCTAACTATCTATATCTGAAGAAGCTTAGACAAGCCAAGACAGCCAAAGTTCCCATGAGACGAGGTGAGTTCTGTTCTTGAAAGACTTGCCTTCCAAATCTAATCTGTGCCACTGTAAGCTGGAAACCAGGTCAAGAGCTGTCACAACAGAATGTGGGAGGTAACTATAGGCTTTTGCCTTAGGCTTTGTCCTCCTGAGAAAATATCACGTAATGAATGTCTCTTCCCCACGGTCTGAAAATAATTGTGTGTGCCTATGCATCAAATAATCAGTAAGTCAAAAAATATTTTTGTGGCTAACTTGACTGACAGCTGGCTTACCAATCAGATAGATTTGTTTCTGCCTTGTCCTTGAGATAAGTCTGAGAGGGGAGTGGGATGAAATCTGTGCATGAAATGATGAGATCATGACGTCAAGTGTATGAGCCTTGAGGCCTCTAAACTGCCAGGCTGTAATTTACCTAACTCTGGGGTGTGAAATTCACATGTACCCGGTCTACTCCTGGTCTGCTATCCGACTGGCCATTTACCCAATGGCCAGTGGGATAGCAGGGGAGTAGACCGGGTACATGTGTGCATGTGTGTGTGTGTTATCGAGGCTGGATGTTCCTTTGGGCAGACCTATCAGGCCACCTTCTACCCAGCTGGTGGTGAAGACAGTGTCTCATTGGCAGCCAACGCTTCACAGGTGTTACTGTTAAAGCAGTAGATGCAGCCTCTTAGTGGTGTCTTCTTTCTTCCCTGTTCTTTGCTTAGTTGTTTCAATGCTTTTGCTTTTAAATGACATCAGTAAAAGTGAAAGCAACTGCACCCTGCCATGGGAGTGGTTTTGTCATTGGTCAAAAATACCTTATGGTGAAGTAGAAGCATTTGACATTTCTTGCAGGATTAAGCTACTCCCTTTCTCTGTCCCTTCTGCACAGGGAGTAGGAGGGGGTCCTACGTCAGTCTAAAAGATCTCTAAACTCCCTGCCCCCAAATTTTAGATAATCACCTCACCAATTTTTTTTTTTTTTTTTTTTTTTTTGAGACAGAGTTTTGCTCTTGTTACCCAGGCTGGAGTGCAATGGCGTGATCTTGGCTCACTGCAACCTCCGCCTCCTGGGTTCAGGCAATTCTCCTGCCTCAGCCTCCCGAGTAGCTGGGATTACAGGCACGCGCCACCATGCCCAGCTAATTTTTGTATTTTTAGTAGAGACGGGGTTTCACCATGTTGACCAGGATGGTCTCGATCTCTTGACCACGTGATCCACCCGCCTTGGCCTCCCAAAGTGCTGGGATTACAGGCGTAAGCCACCGCGCCCGGCCCCACCTCACCATTTCAAGTCCTGAGAATAGTTTTCTTTTCTTTTCTTTTCTTTTTTGAGATGAAGTTTTGCTCTTGTTGCCCAGGCTAGAGTACAATGACATGATCTTGGCACACCACAACCTACACCTCTCGGGTTCAAGCAGTTCTCCTGCCTCAGCCTCCTGTAGCTGGGATTACAGGCATGTGCCACCACACCTGGCTCATTTTGTATTTTTAGTAGAGACAGGGTTTTTCCATGTTGATCAGGCTGGTCTCGAACTCCCCACCTCAGGTGATCTGCCCGCCTCGGCCTCCCAAAGTGCTCGGATTACAGGCATGAGAGAATATTCTTCTATAGCCACCAAAGGAGCCAACATTTAGGAAGGAATTGTTTGGTCAAATAATCAATTAATATATCCAGGGAAGGAAAATCCTAAGCTTCAGAATTGCTGTTCTGCTGTGATATGATGCTACTCAGCAAAATACTGATTGTGGCTTGCAGAGCTTTCTGGAAGCTCCATCTGGGAAGATACCCTCTGTTGTAATAACTGACGTTTTCATCTAGGACAATGGAAGACCCAGAGAGTTAGTCTCATTCCTGAGTCCTGAACTGTCTTGGGAAATACCCATCAGGACTTCATGCTACTTCCTGAAACTGCGAGAGTATTCAGTAATTTCAGACCCCTTCTAATGTTGGCTTATATCATCATTGGCTTCTACCCAGTCCGCCCTCATCACCTGTAAATAAATCTAAGATTCTTCTTCAAAGAGCTCTCCAGCCATTCTCTTGTGGCCTGCAGTTTATATTCTAGCTCTGGAAAGTGTTATCCAAATTCTACCATGTCTTCAGATTTATTCTGGACGAGCAGTTCAATAGCTATATTAACAATAAACACAAATTGAACAGAATCTCTGTAACACAAAATCTTGTGGGCCAACCAAGAATAGCTGCAGCACATCCTTCAGGGTACCAAGAAGCTGTTCGGAGCATGAGGCTCCAGAAAACATGAGAGATGATTTAGACAGGAGAAGTTGCTGGCTTTTTTACTGACACCTGTCAGGGACATATACCACCCGATGACACCAGCCTTTGCTGAAGACTGTTTCCAAGGATGATTTGATGTACAAAGGCAAAATCCACCCCACTGCATTCTGCTTGGCCCATTTTCTCCTGTTTCCTGCTGTTTTCCTCTATCACTACCCTCCACTCATCCTTTTGTTCAGCTCTGTGGAACCAGAATATATATTGGAAAAACGCTGTAGCTCTATCAGCACCATGGTGTAGTTATGCAGCAAATATTTGACTAATAAATGAAGACATGTTTATTTACATATTTTGGTAGCCATTTTTAACATACCTGGACAGCTAGTGCATTAAGCAAAATGCACCTCGCCTCTTGAATTTGGGGCACTGACCTAACACAGGATTGATCTGGGATGCTGAATGATCTTTCCTGCTGAAAGGCTACTCAGGGTACATTTCTCATTGCTCCTGCCTGATCCTCCTGGAAGCCATGTTTCTCAAAAGCACTGAGTCTCAGCACTTCAGTTGGGTTGTATTTTCTTGAAAGCAATTGCATTCAATTTTATAGGTGTCCATTTTTAGTTTTAGGTACAAGAAATACAAATTAAAAATACAAAAGGGAACCAAGCACTTCCAGTGGAATAATTTAGTAACTTTCCTCTTCTTTTTTTTTTTTTTTCTGATGGAGTCTTGCTCTGTCACCCAGGCTGGAATGCAGTGGCCCAATCTTGGCTCACTGCAACCTCTGCCTCTTGGGTTCAAGAGATTCTTCTGCCTCAGCCTCCTAAGTAGCTGGGATTACAGGTGCCCACCACCATGCCTGGCTAACTTTTGTATTTTTAGTAGAGATGGGGTTTCACCATGTTGGGCAGGCTGGTCTTGAACTCCTGACCTCATCATCCAACCGCCTCAGCCTCCCAAAGTCCTAGGATTACAGGTATGAGCCACTATACCCAGCCCAATTAAGTAACTTTCTATCTATAAGAGAATCTAGACCAGGCTCCTTCATTACAGAAAATCTCTTTCATGTAAATAGTAGTAATTTTTTTCAGTCTTTAAATTAACCTGATAATTTCCCGGGCTGTCTTTATATCACCTGTCTAGTGTTGGATTTGCTTTTGATTTTAAACTTCTTTTTGTTGGTATTGTGCTGCAGGCAATTTCCAGATTTTCCTATCACTGTTCCAAAATTGCGAATAATTAATTATTAGGCTCAGAAGAGGCGTTACCAGTGTTTAGGCAAGACGGTTCTCTGATGAGATTATCTTATGCATCACAGGATATATGGCATCCTTGGGTTCGATTTAGGTGCCTGTAATGCCCTCCGTTATTGTGACCACCAAAACTGCTCCCACTCTCTCAAACACTTCACCTGGCTGAGGAGCACTAAAGGACAAAGGCTTACTTTCAGGAGCCTGCCCGGGAATTACATAGCAAATCTATACTTACCTTCGGGAAGAATCCTGATAGACAGCAGATAAATAATGCCTTCATTGTCCACTGGAAGTAGGTTATTCTGTGTAATGTAATTTGGGCCCTAGATCAGTCAGGTTTCTGATTCAATCCTAAAATGGCTCTAAGAAATTTTTCTAATTTCATTAGAGATGCCGAATTTCCTTTTCAGGCTTGACTTCGACTCTAGAGTTTATTCTAAGCTAGTCTCCTTGCAGGTATTGGAAATAGATACATGGGTTGAAAATGAGGCTTTCCCCTAGACCAAGTCTCATCTGTATGGAGCTTGTGCTAGAGTCTCTGGACCCTCCTGGGCTGTCCCCGTTTCCTGGAGTGGGGCACTAATATCCCTAGTTTACTTTTTGTTCCTCTGTAGGCATCTTAATATAGGACTGCTGTATTATATGAGGGGAAGGAAGATCCTGGCTTTGTTAGGATAAAAAATTTCCAAAACTAATGAAAACGTAATGCTTATTACTTGTGATTATTCAAGTGAAGCATTGTTTCAGAATATTATTGACACAGGTCTTGGAGCTGCCTATACATAAACATAGTGCTCTCATGGGTAGAAGAAAATTCCAATCTAGGTTATTTTTAGAGAAAATAGTAGTTCTTTGTTTCTCCTAAAATAGAAAGGGTCCCATTTCCCATGTCTTTGTGGCTGTCTGATGTTGATGAGGAGAGTGAAATATGTGGCCCTAGATGTGGTTAGCTACAGTCCTCATCCCAGAGGGCTGGTGGTAAGCACATGCAGAGCTCCTTTGGAAAGGCTCAGCACTCATGTATTGAGTTTGTATTATGGCTAACATACCACCAAGTGCTCATGGAATACAGACAGGCAGGCTACGTAAGGGATATTTGTTCCTTTCCCATCAAAAGTTTCAACGAGCCACATGCACACAAGGGATGTCAGGAAGTAAAGTCAGACAGTGTAGAATCATGTGCCACCATGAAGGTCAATGACAGTGTTTGAAGATTCTTCTGTTGGCCTTGGCCACACCACAGTCACTTCATCTCCAGGCCGCATTACTTTAACTTCCACATTATTGTCTGCATGCAAATTCCAGCTACTGCCTCTATAGGGGTCATTTCAACATATGCTTCTAACAGCAGATTCAATGTTTTAGGATAAAACTTCCTACAATACAGTAAAAAAAGAAAAATCCAAATATATGAGAACCTGAGCTATCCAATACCCTTATTAATACATTGTTCTGGACAGTCAAGTTTCCCATATAGCTATGGGACTAGTCCTTTGAGGGGTTGAGGTGAAACACTTTCTACAGTTTGTCATCCTGGGAGTGATGAACCATTTCTGATTCAGGGTTTCTGGTCTCTTCAAACTCAATTCAATTCAGCAAACACGTAATGAATGGCAGTTCTAGGAACACTGCTATGGAAGATACAAGGATTACTTAGTGAGCCTCAACCTTTCCAGGATCACAGGCTACACCAGTGATTCTCGACCCTGGCTATCTAGCAGAATCATCTGACAAGCTCAAAAATTATAGAGAAGGCTGGGTTCCATTCCAGATGAGTTGAATATGAATCTCTGAGACTGGGAGCTAGACAACGCCTTTTATTTTTCTTTTCAAATAAACAGCTCCTTAGATGATTCCTGTAGGCGCTTCCAGGGGTACTGATCTAGGCAAACGCAGGTCAAAACAACAACAACCTGATAAACAGCACAATGTAAATATAAATAAAATGTAAGATTAATTTCAAATGGGGACATCGAAGAACTCTCTTTGGAGAATGCATGGTTAAAGCTGAGCTGGATTGCTGACATTTTTGAGTCCTTATGTCTGCCTTTCATAATTTTTTTTTCCAGTTTATTTCCTATCAGTAGGTAATAACAGTCCTTCTCATAGTGACGAGTGTATGTCTATAGCAGCCCATTTCTAACGTAATATTTCTAGGCATCCGGGGATAGGAAATTTAATCTCTTAAATTTGTTGGGATTGAATGTAAATTAAGAATAAATAGGTTCTACTTCCCACCAAAGGAACTAACACTCCTTGGAGAAATGGCTGATTCTGGGTCTGGGGAAGGAAATGTATTGGGTAAACCTAGGGAAACTTGTTATGCCAGAGAGCAAGGAATTTATTAAGACTAATGGGGTCATGTCACAAGGACACAGTGCCAGCCTGAGTTGGCATCTCCCCCAGGCCAAAGAAGGGACAACTGGAGCATCAATAAGGATAATAACAGCAGTGGGTTAAAATACATGATATACATAAACACCCAGTGCTTCATAATGATACCAAAACAAACAATAAAAGCAAAACCACCCAAATCACAGTGTTGAATTGGAATTACTAGGGCGCCGATTCATTATTCTGAAAATTCATAAGGAAAGGCGAGCATCAAGTGTTTGTCCTTTCCTCTGTTGACTCTTTCAGGGTGAACAAATAGCTACTGGGGGAAGATAGCTGTGTTTGCCTAGATCTGTACCCCTGGAAGCCTATTAGAATCATCTAAGGAGCCACTGTTTTTTTTTTTAAGTGGCAGGTTAATTAATTACGTTAAGAAGAAATTAGAAAATCACATTTTAAAATCCTAATGAGCGTAGGCACAGTCATCAATAGGTGCTACCTCAGCCATCTATGGCTACATCACAAACCACCATCACGTGGTGGCAGGTGGGGTCACTCAAGCAACCACATTCTTCTGGGAGCCCAGCCAGGGCTGGAATGTCCACAGTGGCCCCACTCTTGATGCACAAGCCTTGGTGTTTGTGGTCACCACAGAGCCTCAGTCCTCCTTCAGGTAGCCTCTTATCATTCAACAGCCTGTCCTGTGCCTGGCTTCCACGAGAGCAGAGACAGGAACCATCAAAGCTATCAGGTCTCTTAAGGACTAAAGCTACAGGTGACACATTATGACCTCTGTCACCATCTATTGGTTGAAGCAAGTCACAAAGTCAGCCTAGATTCACAGGGGTGGGGAGAATAGACTCCCACTCTTGATGGAAAATGTCTCTCCCTGGGGACAATCTGCTGCTGTCTATCCTCTGGCCATAATGATTCCTGTCCATTCTGCATACAAAATACAATTTCCCCCTTTTACAACTGTCTCCATTTTGGCATCTTCTCAAAGTGCAGGATGTTTTCATCTAAATCAGGTCCTCAGGTGCGGCTCCTGTTGCTCTGAGATCTATGAGGAACAAGGACAAGTTATTCCCCAATCCACACACCCAACGTGCAATGGTAAGACTGCAGTAGGCACTCATGCTCTACAGAGGAAAGAAAGGCATGCACCTAGCCATCAATTCTGAATCCAGGTTGATGTGTGTCACCAGTTCCCATGATTCTGGGGCCAGAGGTAGGAGCAATTGCTAGTGGTCATCTTTGGAAACAGTGCTCACAGATAGTAAAGTCTTTGGGGGAATGTGGGTAGAGAACTGTATGCTGGAGAGATGAGGCCAACACCATGTGAGTCTAATGACCAGCCTTGGCAATGCTCACAGTGGGGCCACCAGAACTATGAGTGTTATGAGGTGGTACAACAGGAAATATGTACATGGCATCACCTGCCAGTATTCTTGTCTTAAAATTGATCCTGAATCTTCTCAGACATCTAGACTCTGTGATTAATAAGCAGGACACGCAGGAGCTAGAGGAATGGGTTAAATGGCAAAATAATAGCTAAACCCTGAAGGTAGCACATCCTACAGGATGAAGGACATACGTTCCTCATCAAATCAATACATAGGAAGCACACAGAAAGGAGCTAGTAGAGAATAAAAGAGAACAAAGAGGCATAACCATCAAATGCAATGTGCGAACCTTATTCGAATCCTGATTCAGACAAAACAACTGCGAAATCTCCCCTTCGAGGCAATTAGCAAAACGTAACTGCAGTCAGTATTAGATGATATTAGGGAATTCTTGCTGATTTTATTAAGTATGATACCAGCATGGTGATTATAAGGAAAAAAAGGTCTTTATCAGTTGGAGATGCATACTAAACTATTTGTGGGTAAGATACCATAATGCTTGGGTTTGGCTTTAAAATGTTCCAGTCAGGCTGGGCGTGGTACCTCACACCTTTAATCTCAGTACTTTGGGAGGTTGAGGCAAGGAGGATCACTTGAGTCCAGGAGTTCAAGACCAGCCTGGGCAACACAGAGAGGCTCTAGATAAAAAAAAAAAAAAAAAATTTTTTTTAAATTAGCCAGGCATTGTGGTACCTGCCTATAGTCCCATCTATTGAGGAGACTGAGGTAGAAGAGCCATCTGAGCCTGGGGGTCAAGGCTGGAGTGAGCCATGGTGGCACCACTGCACTCCAGCCTGGGTGGGGTGACACAGCAAGACTATGTCTCGAGAAAAAAAAAATCCTGGTAAAATAAATGAGGCAGGGTGAGGGTAGGAAGGCAAATAAATTAGGAAAATGTTGGTAATTGTTTAAGGTGGGAAATAGGTAAAAGGGTTTTATTCCCACTTTGTGTGTGTGTGTGTGTGTGTGTGTGTGTGTGTGTGTGTGTAAGAGATGAGGTCTTGTTCTGTCACCCAGGCTGGGGTACGGTGGCATGATCATGGCTCACTGCAGCTTCCAGCTCCTGGGCTTAAGCAATTCTCTTGCCTCAGCCTCTGGAGTAGATGGGACTACAGGTGGGTATCCCCACACCCAGCTTCTGTGAATGTTTGAACATTTCCATGATAAATTAAAAAAAAAATAGCTTCTGAATGAAATAACTGGATTTGAAGGTCTCTTAAATAAATCAATGAAGCACCAGTACTCTGGGGCAGCATCTTTGGTAGGCGGGAGTCCCAGCAGGGACTCAGGGCCCTGGCTTTGGTCTGCTTCCAATGCTCAGCTGGTCATGGGAGGTGGGGGCTATGGTGAAAGTAGGAAGGGAAAAGCTGTGAGTTATTTGGTGGTGACAATTTACTCCTTCTTCCTGGCATTTTTTATTGAAAATAAAATAATCCATTGGTCTATATTAAACAAGTCAATTATTTATGGAGCTCTTGTACTTTTAAGACATTGGTATTTATTATCTTAAAGTAACGCATGTGCATAGTTCTGAAAAGTCAAATAGGTCTACCACCCAATCTACAACGAAAAGAACCGCTCCTTTCCCCCTTCCTTCCCTGAATTTCTTCTCACCAGAACTGCCACTTCCAATCTTTTTAGTTCTTTCTTATGGTATTTCTTTTTTTCTGTCAAAATGACTGGCTTGGCCGGGTGTGGGGGCTCACACCTGTAATCCCAGCACTTTGGGAGGCCGAGGTGGGTGGATCACAAGAGGCCAGGAGTTCGAGACCAGCTTGGCCAACATGGTAAAACTCTGTCTCTATTATACTAAAAAGTACAAAAAATTAGCTGGGTGTGGTGGTGCATACCTGTAGTCCCAGCTACTCAGGAGGCTGAGGCAGGACAACTGTTTGAACCCGGGAGGTTGAGATCACAGTGAGCCGAGATGGCGCCACTGCCTGGGCAACAGAGTGAGACTCTGTCACAGAACAAACAAAAACAGCAACAGCAGAAAGAGCTTATTGTATTTTTCTCTTACATTTTTCAACTTTAGACAAAATCTATTGGCTTCTGAGTGAAGAAAGCAGGAGTTAGCCCTGTCGTGTCACCCTCCGCACGTATAAACTAGCTTCTCTTTCTATTTTCCTAATAGCATCATTTTTTGTTAAATCAATATTTAGTGTTTGCTCTATGAGGACCAAGCAAATATACGTATTCTGAGTTCACTACCCAGCCAAGTGGTGAACTCAGATTCTATTTTGTTTCTTGTGTAATTTTTGGCTTCTCAGATGCTAATAATTGTTTAATTTCTTCTTCTATTCATTTGCTTGGTTTCCTAGGTTCTTCTGGCTTCGATTTCCCTGCTGGAGCTGTGCAAGCCTAGTATATTCTCAACGTGCTTAAACACATCAGGTAATTATGGGTTGCCTCTTCTTCTCCTCAGAGACATCCCTCTTTAGCCCCAGGCCCTCTTCCCAGATGCCCGCTTGAGCTTCCTTTCACCTCTTTCCTTTGCTGGATTCTTGTCCTGGATCCCAGGCTCTTTCCTGGTTCTGGTGGAGCACACATTCTTGCTGTTTCTTGTAAGAGAGCACAGAGAGGGAAATGATGAATATTATATTTGTGGTACATGTCAGAGAAGATGAAGACTCCATTGTCACAAGGTAGGTTCCTTGATGGAGATGAGCGTATGGGGGCTTTACTAGGGATGCTCTTGGGATCATCACTGTGGAAGGGAAGGAGTCAGGATTGAGTGGAGGCAGAAGCTGAGCTGAGCTGCTATCTCAATGGTCTTCTAGGATGTTCTGGAGCTGGGATGAGCCTTCAGAGTTGTCCCTAGTTGGGACGAGGGGCCTTTATATACATGTAAGAATCAATCAGTGGATTTGGGGCACTCTGGGAAGTGGTGTGACCTCATACAAAGCACCTCTCTTCAGCAGAGGGAATCGCTGTGTGGGCTGGAGGGGTCTGAGCAGCGCACCTCAGCATCCACCACAGCCTGCTCCCAGGCTGCTCGCATGCAGCTTCTTGTATAAGGACTGGGCGCAGTTCCTCCAGGATTCCAAAGGGCATCTTACTTTGGGACATCTGGAAGCTGGAACTCAGTGGAATACACTGCAGCTCTAACCTTTGACACTGCTCTAATGTTTGTTGACATCTTCCTCTACTTTCCTCTTGAGATTCCTTCTTTAAGTTGGCACCTTTGCTGGTCTCTGTGGCTTGGGACCATGACCCAGCCCTTTATTCCTGAGGATCTGAACTTCTGGTCATCATGCCTTTCTTAGGCTGTGGCTGCCGCATTTGCCCATGTAAGTAAAACAAAAAATCAAGGAAAGACCAAGATGTCCAAGCAGATAGATTTATTTATTCCTGATCCTATTGTATAATGATGGCCAAACCTCCTGACAATCAAGATTAATTTCCCCTGCCAGGATGGTCATCCCTCTTCACACCTGCCGATCTTTGGCAGGAGGTGTCTAACATGCCCAGTTTTGAGTCATACCTTGGAGTTTAATGGGACTTGCTGTGTCTACTGGGAGAACATTTACCCCTTTGGGGTCCTCCAAACTTGCAGAGCCCAGAGGTGTAGGGATAGGAGGAGCAAATCCCCCAGGTGGGAGTGATGGTAAGTAGGGTACCTCCGCTTCCACCCTTTGGTTCCTGGATCTGTGTATTCTCCCAGTTGGAAATGCGGTGTCATATAAAGGTCACTTGTTTAAAGCGTATGCTGCAGCCAAGAGGATGCCACTCAACCTCCCGTGGTATTACGTCCAAGCTGGAATGTCAGTTTTGTCTTCCACATGCCATAGCATTCCTCTCTCAGGTCAGCACCTTCTCATGGGGCAGTTCAAATATGGCCAGTGTATTCCAAAGCCATATGCTCACTGCCCACACCTCCTTTGCTATAAAGCGGATCCCTTTCTCTTATAGGATGCTATGTAGACTCCTGTGTTGCTGGATGCAACCATCTGTTAGCTCTTAGACCATGGTGTTGGCTGAGTGCCTAAGAGCAGAAAAGACTGTCCCATATCTATAATATGTGTCTGTTCCTGCTAAAATGAATCATTGTCCCTTCTTGAGACTGATTGGTCACTTTGAGGGATAACACCACATCAGGGGCTCAGCATTGGTCCCTGCTGCTGGCAGGTCTGCCATTCAGAGTGGCAAAAACTGGATCTCCTTGGTACGTGGAAGCCTGTCATTGGGCATGTGCTTAGCCTTCATCCCTGCCACTCTATTCATGTACCCATTTTACTTACCCAGTTCATTTAGCATGAAGTCATCGATATGGGCCAGGGTGCTGTTCTACAGGATGCCTAGCTGGTCCTGGTTTCCTCAGACTTTACTGTGACAGGACGGGAGCGTTAACACAGCCTTGTACCAAGGCCATAAATGTAACATGGTTCACTCTTTCAAGTGAATGTGTTTCAGTCCATTTTCTGTTGCTTGTAACAGAATACCTGAAACTGAGTACTTTAAAAAGACAAGAAGTTTATTTCTTACAGTTCCAGGGGCTGAGAAGACCAGAGTTGAGGGGCGGTATCTGGTGAGGGCCTTCTTGCTGGTGGGGATTCTCTGCAGTGTCCTGAGGTGGCGCAGGGTATCACATGGTGAGGGGGCTGGGCATGCTGGCCCAGGTCTCTCTTCCTCTTCTGATAAAGCCACCAGTTCCATCCCCATGAAAACCCAGTAATCCATTAGCCATCAGTCCATTAATTTATGAATGGGTTAATTCACTTAAATGAGGCAGAGCCCTCATAACCCAATCACTTCTTAAAGGCCCCACCTCAATACTGCCCCATTGGGGATTAAATTTCAACATATGTTTTGGAGGGGACAAATAGTCAAAGCATAGCTGTCTAAGTCTTTTTTTTTTCTTTTGAAACGGAGTCTTGCTCTGTCTCACTGGGCATGTGCTTAGCCTCCATCCCTGCCACCCTATTCATGTGCCCATTTTGCTTATCCAGTTCGTTGAGCGTGATGTCATTGATATGGTGGGCCTGGGTTCACTGCAACTTCCACATCCTGGGTTCAATTGGTTCCCCTGCCTCAGCCTCTTGAGTAGCTGAGATTACAGGTGTGTGCCACCTCACCCAACTAACTTTTGTATTTTTAAATAGAGACAGGGTTTCATCATGCTGGCCAGCGTGGTCTCGAACTCCTGACCTCAAGTGATCTGTCTACCTCGGCCTCCCAGAGTGCTGTGATTACAGGCATGAGCCACCACACCTGGACCTAAGCCTACTTTTTTTTGATGAGGACAGAGGAGAATGCATCTGCCAGATGAATGGCCACATGTCATGACCTCAGGCCACATTAAATCTGCTTAAGGACCCTTTGGGTCTTTTAAGACTGGCTGTAATCTCAGTCATTCTCTCTGGAGAACATTATTGTTGTCTTGGGGGGGCAGTTTCTATAGCTTCTACTTTGCCTTCCGTACTAGGAGAGCTCATAGTAGGCCAAGGAACGGATGGAAGAGACTACCAGGTAAGCCTATGGCAATTTGACCCTTGGATATTGGGGAAATGACCCTTGGGTGGGTCCTGGAAACCAGTGCACTACTGCGCGTCAGCCCAAGGCCAGAATTCCTGGTCTCACATGTGTCCCTCTCTAACAGTGAGTGGGCATGATGCCACCTTGGGTTACTGTGTATCAACATCAACTTGGACTCTGAAACAAAAAGTCTTGGGATGTTTGACCCTTCCCCTTTCTCTGGTGTCCTCTTTCCTGAGTAAGTGACTGCATGTCCCTCTGAAAGAACCGGGAGACTCATTACCAAGTACATTTCCTGTGATTGTTTAGCATTCTTCTCTCCGGGGACTCAGGCTTTCTATTCATCAATGGGTTCTGGGCCTAAAAATCGTCTTGGGTCTAGAAACAGAAAAATTGATGATGACTGTTTTGGAGGCAACTGCCCTCAGCCTCCAGCTCATCCATCCTTGATTTCTTTTGTTTGTGCAGATTGATTTGTGTCCCATGGCTGCCCATCTACTTGGCTTCTAGGGACACTGTGTTCTGTTAATCCTTTCTCTAACTCTCTGTGGGTCAGTGTCCCTGGCTGCCCTCTGACCTGCCACTCACTGTGATCATTGCATCCACCTGGCTTTTGACAGTGACATGCTTTTGACAGTGACATGACCTGGCCTCTGTTTGTGGAGGTGGGGGGCAGCTAACTCACCATCCCTTTCCTATCAGTGACTCAGTTCTGTGCCAGCATGCACTGCAGAGCCATCATTGGTCTCCTGAGTGTCATGGAGCATCTTGCCCCAGCAAGATCCTTAGTGCTTGTGAGAACGGGGCATCCTTCGTGATTCTCCCATAACAGAGATCACACCAGCATGCTCATTTCTCTGAGCTTTCATTCCCCCTGGCCACCATCTGGCATGGTGGCTCTGGCACTGTTACCTCTCTTACTGTGGACCACTGATTTTTTCATGCATCCAGGGTGTGTGTGTCCCATCTCCCAGATCCTTGCCAGTGCGTTAAATCCTGTATCCCAGAAGGGGGCTCCCAAACCAATAAATCCTCATCCAACCTTGAGTTCTGACTTCCTGGATAATGCACCCTCAGAATCCAGCCTCAGTGGTTCTCCCAGCTTATGATACTACATGAAGGTGAGGTGCTGCTTCTCCTCAGGGTACATTTCTTTCTCTTTATAGCAGACCCAGCACATCCCCAGCCCTGTGAGATCGAGACTTAACCCTGCTTCTTGGCTCAGTGGCAAGAAGGGGAAAAGGGACAGATTCTGAATGGGAAAGGGGAGGCCTGTTATCTTGTGGAAAGAAGCCCTTGTGTAGTTTCCAAGCAAGTGGGGAGTGCTAGCCTTACAGAGAGAGGTGAGCCACGTGGAAGGCTCAGAAGCTTTAGGGAAATCTGGAGATGCAAGAGTCTGGGGTGCATGAACCCAGATGTCCTCATCCCATGTATCAGGGTCCTGTTGTTTCTTAGGCACTGCCCAACCTTGATGGAGGAGATCTGCCTTGCTGCTCAACCTTCTGCTGAACTCAATTACTATTATAATGTGAATCCCAAGTCTGGGTTAGCCTTCTCTGCCCCTCCACTAAAGGAGAGGAGACTCTCTATATGCTACCAAGGAGGATCTCCAGCTTTCACACTTGGTCTTGTTTTCCTTTTAACATGTTTATTGTGATATAATTCACAAACCACACATTCACCTATTTAAAGTGTACAATTTAATGTTTTTTAGTGTATTCACATGATTGTGCAATCATCACAACCACTTAATTTAAAAACATTTTCATTTCCACTAAAAGAAATCCCATACCCATTAACAGTCACTCCCGGTTCACTCCTTCCCCTACCCTGTGGCAACCATTGATCACTCCCTACCATGTGGATTTGCCTATTCTGGACATTGTATGCAAATAGAATCATATAATATTTGGTTCTTGTGACTGCTTCTTTAACTGAACATAATGTTTTCAAGTTTCATCCATGTTGTGGCATGTATCAACACTTCATTTCTTTTTATTGTCAAATAACACTCCATTGTATAAATATGCTACAGTCTGCTCATTCATTCATCAGTTGATGGACATTTGATTTCACTTTTTGGCTATTAGTGAATGATATTACCATGAACGTTCATGTACAAGTTTTTGTGTGGATGTATATTTTTCATTTCTCTTGGGTATATACCAAGAATTGGGATTGCTGGATCATATGATAATTGTTTAGCATTTTAAAGAACTGCCAAACTGTTTTTCAAAATAGCAACCCACAGGCAAAAGTGGGAAGCATTCCCCTTGAGGACGGGAACAAGACAAGGATGCTCACTCTCACCTCTCCTATTCAACATAGTACTTGAAGTCTTAGCCGGAGCAATCAGACAAGAGAAAGAAATAAAAGGCATCCAAATAGAAAGAGAAGTCAAGCTATTTCTCCTCATTAATGATATGATTCTATACATAGAAAACCTTAGAGACTCCGCCAACAGGCTCTTGGAACTGATAAACAACTTCAGTAAAGTTTCAGGATACAAAATCATTGTACAAAAATCAGTTGCATTTCTATACTAATAACATTCAAGCTGAGAGCCAAATCGAGACTGCAATCTGATTTACAGTAGCTGCAGAAAAATAATAAAATACCCAGGAATACATCTAACTAGGGAGGTTAAAGATCTCCACAACGAGAAATACAAAACAGTGCTGAAAAAAATTATAGTGACACAAATGGAAAATGTTTCACACTCATGGACTGGAAGAACTGATATAAAAATGGCCCTAGTGCCCAAAGCAGTTCACAGATTCAATGCTATTCCTATCAAACTACAAGTGTCATTTCTCACAAAACTAGAAAAAACTATTCTAAAATTCACATGGAACCAAAAAAAAAAAGAGCCTGAATAGCCAAAGCAATTTTAAGCAAAAAGAACAAAGCCAGAGGCATCACACTACCTGACTTCAAATTATATTATGAGGCTACGGTAATCAAAACGCTATAGTATAATATTATACAAAAACCAGACATGTAGATCAATGGAACAGAATACAGAACCCAGAGATAAACCCACATATCCATAGCCATCAGATCTTTGGCAAAGCCAACAAAAAGAAGCAATGAGGAAAGGACTTCCTATTCAATAAATGATACTGGGATAGCTGGCTAGCCATATGCAGAATGAAACTTAACTCCTACCTTTCACTATATACAAAAATTAACTCAAGATGGATTAAATAGTTACATGTAAGATCTCAAACTATAAGAATCCTAGAAGAAAACCTAGGAAACATCATTTGGGACATCAGCCTTAAGTCCTCAAAAGCAAGTGAAACAAAACCAAAAATTGACAAATAGGATCTAATTAAACTAAAGAGCTTCTGCAGAGCAAAAGAAACTATCAAATAGCAAACAGGCTGGGCACAGTGGCTCATGCCTGTGATCCCAGCATTTTGGGAGGCCGAAATGAGTGGATCACTTGAGGTCAGGAGTTCAAGACCAGCCTGGCCAACATGGTGAAACGCTGTCTGTACGAAAAATCAGCTGGGCATGGTTACAGGTGGCTGTAGTCCCACCTACTTGGGAGACTGAGGCAGAAGAATTGCTTGAACCGGCAGGCAGAGGTTGCAATAAGCTGAGATTGTGGCACTGCCCTCCAGTCTGGGCAACAGTGAGACTCTGTATATAAACAAAAACAAAAAACAGTAAACAGACAACCTACAGATGGGAGAAAATATTTGCAACCTATGCCTCTGACAAAGGTCTTACATCCAGAATCTGTAAGGAATTTAAACAATTGATCAAGCAAAAACCAAAATAACCCCATTTAAAAATGGGCAAAAGACACTTCTCAAAAGAAGACATACAAGCAGCCAACAAACATATGAAAAAATGCTCATCATTAATCATCAGAGAAATGCAAATCAAAACCACAATGAGATACCATCCCATACCAGTCAGAGTGGCTGTTACTAAGAAGTAAAAAGATAACAGATGCTGGTGAGGCTGCAGAGAAACAGGAATGCTTAATACACTCTTGGTGGGAATGCACATTAGTTCAGCCACTGTGGAAAGCAGTTTGGAGATTTCTCAACAAACTTAAAATATAAAACAGTTAAAACTTAAACATAAACCATTTAACCATTTAAAACTTAAACTATTTGGTGCAGCAATCTCATTACTGGGCATATATCCAAAGGGAAATAAATCATTCTACCAAAAAGACACATACACTCATATGTTCATTGCTGCACTATTCACAATAGCAAAGATGGAATCAACCTAGGAATCCATCACTGGATCATTGATGGACTGGATAAAGAAAACGTGGTACATATACACCACGGAATACTATGCAGCCATAAAAAATAATGAAATTCATTAAAAAGAATGAAATCATGTCCTGTGCAGCAACATGGATATTAGAGGCCATTATCATAGAGGAATTAATGTAGGCACAGAAAACCAAATACTGCCTCTTCTCACTTATAAGTTGAAACTAGACATTGAGTATACATGGACATAAAGATAGCAACGGGTCATGTGAGGTGGCTCATGCCTGCAATCCCAGAGCTTTGGAAGTCCAAGGTGGGAGGATTGCTTGAACCCAGGAGTTCAAGACCAGCCTGGACAAGATAGCAAGAACCAATCTCTACAAAAAATAAAAACTTAGCTAGGCATGGTAGTGCACACCTGTGGTCCCAGCTACTAAGGAGGCCGAGGGGGGAAGATTGCTTGAGCCCAAGAGGTCGAGGCTGCAGTGAGCTGTGATCCTACTACTGCATTTTAGCCCAGGTGAGAAAGTGAGACTCTGCTTCAAAAAAAAAAGACAGATGGAAAGAAATAGATGCTAGAGACTACTGGAGAGGGAAGGGAGAGAGGAGGGCAAGGGTTGAAAAACTAACTGTTGGGTACAATGCTGTGTACCTGGGTCTTGGGATCAATTGTACCCCAAACCTCAGCATCATGCAATATATCCAGGTAGTAAACCTGTACATGTACCCTCTGAACCTAAAATAGAATTTGGAAGAAAAAAACACTTCAAAGCAGCAGCCCTGTAACATTCCCCCCATTGTGGATGAGGGTTCCAATCCCCCCGCATCCTCATCAATGCTTGTTATCGTCTGTCTTTTTGAGCACAGTCTCCTAGTGAGTGTGATGTGGACTCCCATTGCGGTTTTGATTTGCATTTCCCTAATAACCAGTGATATTGAGCATCTTTTCATGTGTACATTGATTCAGGCCATTTGTACATCTTTTTATTTTTGGCAAAACATCTATTTTAATCCTTTGCTCATTTCAAATTTGAGCTGTTTTCTATTATTGAATTGTAAGGGTTTTTATGTATACATAGAGCTTTTTAGATAAAGTCCCTTATCAGATATACGACTTGCAATTTTTTTTTCTCGTCATATGAGTTGCTTTTTCACTTTCTCAATGGAGTCATTTGGTGTGCAGGAGTTTTGAATTTTGATGAAGTCCAATTTATCTATTTTTTTATTTTGTCATTTGTGCTTTTGCCATCATATCTAAGAAGCCATTGCCTACCCAACTTATGTTTTCTCTGAAAGTTTTGTAGTTTCAGATCTTGCATTTGGGTCTGTGTTCCATCTTGAGTTAATTTTTGTATACAGTATGGGGCAAGAGTCCCATCTGGTTCATTTGAATGTGGATTTCCAGTTGCCTGGCGCCATTTGTTGAAAAGACTATTGTTTCACCATGTAGCTGTCTTGGTCACACTCAGCTTTTATTGGTCAGTTTTAATCATTTTCAGCTTTTCACTATCTTTTTTCCAGAATTGAACCGACCTTGGGAATAACCATCCGATTCCACTGTCCTTATAGTTATGATTTCATCCAAATTTCTTAAACAATATCAATGCAAAATTTCTAAAATATAAGCAAAAGGTCTTTAGCAGCACATTAAAGAGAATACAACCAATTCAGGATCACAGGAATGCAATTTATCTCGTACTTAAAAAATTCTGATTAGTGTTTTTGTTGAAAATGTAGTAAACTTTTTTTTTTTTTGAGATGGAGTCTAGCTCTGTTCCCCAGGCTGGAGTGTGGGGGTGCAATCTCGTCTCACTGCAACCTCTCCCTCCCAGGTTCAAGCAATTCTCCCTGCCTCAGCCTCCCGAGCAGCTGGGATTATAGGCGCCCACCACCATGCCCAGCTAATTTTTTGTGTTTTTAGTAGAGCCGGGGTTTTGCCATGTTTGCCAGGCTGGTCTCGAACTCCTGACCTCAGGCGATCCCCCCACGTCAGCCTCCCAAAGTACTGGGATTACAGGCATGAGCCACCCCGCCCAGCCAAAATTACAGTAACTTTATAGATTAATTTGGGGATAATTGTTAGTTAATAAAATTAGGGCTTCTTCTACTCAGGAGGCTGAAGCAGGAGAATCACTTGAACCCAGGAGGTGGAGGTTGCAGTGAACCAAGATTGTGCCATTGCACTCCAGTCTGGTCACAAGAGCGAAACTCCGTCTAAAACACAACAACAACAACAAAAACTAGGGCTTCTTGCTCCAAAACAGTGTATCTTTTCTCTTCTGTTCAAACCTTACTTGACAACTTTTGTTTATATATTTCTAATATCTTTGACTAATCATAGAGTGTACTTACACAAACCTAGATGGTACAGCCTACTACACGCCTAGGCTGAATGGTACAGCAGATTGCTCCTAGGCTGCAAACCTGTACAGCGCGTGACTATAAGCCCTGAGTGTAACATTGCGGGAGCCTTAGAAAATGTAAGGTGGGACCGGGCACAGTGGCTCACGCTTGTTATCCCAGCACTTTGGGAGACTGGGTGGATTACCTGAGGTCGAGAGTTCAAGATCAGCCTGACCAACATAGAGAAACCCTATCTCTACTAAAAATACAAAGTTAGCTGGTTGTGGTGGCGCATGCCTGTAATCCCATCTGCTTGGGAGGCTGAGGCAGAAGAATGGCTTGTGAAGCCATTCTTGAGGCAGAATAACGGGAGGTGGAGATTGCGGTGAGTGAATATCGCACCATTGCACTCCAGCCTGGGCAACAAGAGCAAAATTCCATCTCAAAAAAAAAAAAGTAAGGTGGCTCTTGTTTACCTAATTAGTCCTGTGTGAGCCGGCACAGACTCTCCCCAGGTCTGTATTCAGAGATGGTGGGGGCAGTAGAGCTGATCATCTCATCTCATTCTGGACACACTCAGGAAGTATGCAGGAGGTAGAAATCCTAAGACCGAGCTCATCATGGCAATACTTCTCCTCATAGGTGACTGGTTCAAGGGAGCGTGTATCCCTATTCTGGCCATGGGACTTGAGAAGATGTCTCTGGGGCGACCTCTGTACAATGATCAGCAGCCCATGTCCTGTCGACACAATATGTCTGTGCTTGCTGCAGTCATCTCCCTGCCAGTCTCAGTATGAAACCAACACATGAAGCCATGAAAGTCGCAGAAATAAGATGATGCCCTGCTGGGCCTAGAGCTGCCCTCCTTGGGTCCTTCTTATGTGAAATATTAAGCCCCTTATTATTCGTATCAATGCCAGTTAGGATTTTCTACCCCTTGCTGCTGAAGACATCCTAAGGACTGTTCTTATAACTGGATGTTAAGTGCAGCTATTTCTGTTTCAGATTCAGCTAGGTCATCACTATTCCAGATGCCCACTTCTCTGACTCGCTGAAGGAGGATCACTATGGGGACTTGTAAAAGAGATTTTGGATCACCTGAGGTCAGGAGTTCATGACCAGCCTGACCAACATGGTGAAACCCTGTCTCTACTGAAAATACAAAATTTAGCCAGGCATGGTCGTGGGCGCCTGTAATCTCAGCTACTTGGGAGGCTGAGGCAGGAGAATTGCTGGAACCAGGGAGGTGGAGGTTGCAGTGAGCTGAGATGGCACTGTTGCACTCCAGCCTGGGCGACAACAGCGAGATTCTGTCTCAAAAAAAAAAAAAAAAGAGAGAGAGAGATTTCCAAAAATCAGTTTTGTAACCTTAGGCCACATGTCTATGCAAGAGTATCAAAGAGTTGAGGCAGTTATCCAGGGAGTCTGAAATCACAGAAGGTGTTTGGAGAGAGTGCTTTGCACTCTGTGACTTCCACCCACACTTCGTGGGGAAGGGATGGAGATGTCTCCTCCCTTTTCCTCACTTCCAACCCAGGGAGGGGAGCTTTAATAGGATCCCTTAAGGAGCTGGACATTTAATTCACAGAGCATAAGGGCCATGGTGGACTAATGTCTGATACATGCCTAAAAATTCTAAAGGGAATGAGAACGTGGTTGTGGATGGCCTGGACTCATGAACAGAGTTCCACAGAGCAGGTGTATACCTGGCCTTGTGACAGCTCCTGTGGGGTTATTTTAGATGCTGCCTCCTATGGGCTAAATTATGTCTCTTCCCCCACTAAATTCATGTGTCAAAACCCAAATCCTGTGACGTGTCTCTTCCTGGCCTGCAGATGACCACCTTCTCAATGTGTCCTCATTTGGCCTTTCCTCGATGTTGTGTGGAGATAGAGTCCTGATGTCTCTTCCTCGTCTTAATAAGGACACCAGGCTTATTGGATTAGGTCCCCCGAGTATAACTCATTTAGCCTTATTTACCTCCGAAAAGGCCCTATCTCCAAACACGCTCACATTGGGGGTTAGCGCTACAACCTATGAATTCTGAAGTGGTAAAACGCAGTCCAGGGCTGAGCCTGGTGGCATACATTTGTAATGCCAGCACTTTGAGAGGCCTAGGTAGGAGGATCGCTTGAGACCAGGAGTTCTAGACCAGCCTTGACAACAGAGCAAGACCTTACCTCTACAAAAAATTTTAAAAAGTTTCTAGTCTGTGTGTCTGGTTAATTAATTTAAAAATAAAATTTAAAAATGTAGCTGGGTGTGGTGGCACACTTGTAGTCCCAGCTACTCGGGAAGCTGAGGTGGGAGGATCGCTTGAGATCAGAAACTGGAGGCTGCAGTAAGCTATGATCGCACCACTGCACTTCAGCCTAGGCAACAGAGCAAGACTTTGTCTCTAAAAAAACAAAACATAGAAGAAAACACCAATGCAGTATCACAAAAGCTAAGAGAAGGAACCCCCCACTTTTTTTTTTCTGAGATGGAGTCTTGCTCTGTCGCCCAGGCTGGAATGCAGTGGCGAGATCTTGGCTCACTGCAACCTCCGCCTCCTGAGTTCAAGCCTCAGCCTCCCAAGTAGCTGGAACTACAGGCTCGTGCTGCCACACCCGGCTAATTTTTTTGTATTTTTAGTAGAGGTGGGGTTTTACCATGTTAGCCAGGATGATCTCGATCTCCTGACCTTGTTATCCACCCACCTCGGCCTCCCAAAGTGCTGGAATTACAGACATGAGCCACCATGGAGTGGGCACATTTTTACGCTACCCCTGAGACAGGGATTCTCAAATGTGGAAGTGATTTACATTTGGGGCGGATCATTCTTTGTGCTGGGGGCAGCTCCGTGCATTATAGGATGTTTAGCAGCTCTTCCCTGGCCTCTTCCCACTAGATGCCATAAAACACCCCACGCTACCCAGTTGTAACAACAGCAATGTCTCTGGACATGACCAAATGTCCTCCTGGGGGCAGAATTGCCCCTGCTTGACAGCCACTGTCTTATGGAAGTGGAGGTTAAGAAACAGGGAGGTTGGGGAGGGATAACATGGGGATAAATGCCAGATATAGGTGACAGGGGATGGAGGCAGCAAAACACCTTGCCGTGTGTGTACCTATGCAACAATCTTGCATGATCTGCACATGTACCCCAAGAACCTAAAGTACAATTTAAAAAGAAAAGGAAATAGAGGTTTGGGCTTTACTTTTAACTCCATGTTTTTGCAGTGTGTAAATTTTTTGCAGAATACAAGTATTTCTTCTGTTAAAAAAAATTAGGAAAAAAAAGTCAGGGGTAACGAATGAGTCAAATGCGGTAAGCATTTGCAGGTGACCCAGAGGTGCTGTTGGTGACCTGTGACATGTTCAGGGGTATGGTGGGAAGATGACACCAGGTGACCACGATTCAAAAGGGCCCGGGGGGAGAGAGGAAGCTCCCCTTGAGTGGTGGAGGCCCAGCATTCGACAAGGAGAGAAGTGAGGAAAAAACAGAAATAAATTCATGGTCATAAAGTTTCTCAAATCTTTAAAATCTCAAAGAAAGGCTTTTCTCAATTTGCTTTATGTAAGACAATTCTGGAAACATCTGAAGTTTGGCAGCAATTACAGGAGAATTTGGCTCTGCAAATCCCAGTAGCTAGTTGTACTAGTTTGCCAGAGCCACAGACTGGGGGCGTTAAACAGGACCCTTCCTTCACAGTTCTGGGGGCTGGAATTCCGAAATCCTGGTGCGGGCAGCGTCGATTCCTCCCGGGGCCCCTCTCCTCGGCGTGTGGATGCCGTCTTCTCCCTGTGTTCCCACCTGTCCTCCGTCTGTGTGTCTTTGTGTCCTGATTTCCTTTTCTCATAAGGACACTAGTCAGATTAGATTAAGTCCCAGCCTCAGGGCCTCATTTTAACTTAATTACCTTTTTTTTTTTTTTTGGAAACGGAGTCTTGCTCTTTGACCCAGGCTGGAGTGCAGTGGCACCATCTCACTGCAGCCTCCGCCTCGAGGGTTCCAGCCATTCTCCTGTCTCAGCCTCCCGAGTAGCTGGGATTACAGGCACGTCATTACATCCAGCTAATTTTTGTATTTTTTTTAGTAGAGACTGGGTTCCACCATATTGGCCAGGTTGGTCTCAAACTCCTGACCTCATGATCTGCCCACTTTGGCTTCCCAAAGTGCTGGGATTACAGGCGTGAGCCATCACATCTGGTCCTTAATTACCTCTTTTAAGGCTCCGTCTTCAAATAGAGTCAAATTCTGAGGTTCTGAGGGTTAGGATTTCAGCATATGAATTTTGGGGGAGCATAATTCAGCTAATTGCACTAGTGACCATCTCAGGGGTCTGTAGAACCAGATGATCCCTACAACCAGTGCTCCCCATTTCCATGACAGGAGCCACTGCAGAGAGCCCCAGGTCACAGTGGTCGCCACAGACCACTGCCTTCAGCACCATCCTCCCTCTCTCCTCCGTCCCTTCTGTCATCCCCACAGTGACACAAACACATTACTCTCGTGAATCCTAAATGTGAATCGACTGCTCCTCATTCATCCTGGGTGTAGCCGACATCTTTGAATCATCTCAGGGCCACTCCTATTTGTGGCCTCAGTCACTGGTTACTTGAACTTAAATAGGTCAGATAAACAGAGTTCAAAGCCATGGTGCATATAACACAGTTTGGAATTCAGGATGCAGACAGGGAACCTCCCTAAATGTCGCAATTATCTTGGTCCTATACTAAGGCATGTCCCAGGTTAGAAAATTCAGCTCAGAGGAGGTTTTGCCCTGGGGACAGTATGCCCCTAGAGAAACATCCCATTCATAATGAGTCACCACTGAGAGAGAGTCAGCTCATGTTTCTGGTAATTCGCTAATAAAATGGTATCTCTATTAAACACATATATAGAAAGGTAAAAATAGATTATTTTCTAAATAGCTCTGGCTCAAGGTAAAGTGGTGAAGGAGTTGTTAGTTCTTTTGGAGGCAAAATAAAGCTGCTTTTCCTTCATCCCCGACCACACTTACACTTCATCCTAGGACAAACAAGAAATCCCTCAGTGAAAGAAAATGAAAATGCTGTTCTTCACTGGATTGCTTCAGAAATATGCTTGGACTTGAGAGTTCCAGCGTTTCTGGGACTCATTCTTACAGAGTCTAACCCTTGTGGTTTTTTGGTAGGAGGCAATTTCTGTGCTGGTTATGATTTGAAGGAGCTGGCCCACGGCTCAACCTTGCTTAAATTGGAACAAGATGTCACCAGTGGTCTTGCTCCCTTAGGAGGTACTAGGAAACAGATTCCTGTCAGATGAATTTTAGGCCATTCCGGGGACTCTTGTTAGTTTCCATGACTAGAAATGACACCACCATTCTGTCACTGCGTTTCAAGTGCCTCGCACCATGCAGGGAGTGTGAGTTGCAGTGGGTTATTTTTTTCTTTTCAATTTTTTTTTTTTTCAAGCAAGGAAGGTAATGGCAAAGAATTTTTCATAAAAACAAGTGACAAATTTCACTCGAGTTACTGACACATAGAAGGAAAAAATTAGTTTTTGCTTTGAAGCTAACCAGAAACAAATGGAACTGTTTCTCCAAAGGAAAAGTTGGAGTTCAGTTATGATACATCCCCTCCCAGAAATCTAGGAAATTATACATACTGTACCCTCTGTTTATAAGAATATGAATAACATGATTGTGTGCACAGGGTCAATTGCAGTTCAGATGAGAATTTACTGCTGCTGAGCTGCAACTGTATAAAGGCAGGGAGAGCTGCTGTTAACCCCTTATTAACACAGCCCAAATGCCTTTGTTGAAAGGAAAACTTAGATGGAAAGCTCCTTGAGGCCAGGAAAGACGTCTTAAATGTCTTTAGCTATTTCCCCATCTCCAGTTCGTGTCCTGGTGGTTGGCACACAGTAGGTGTTCAAGTGAATGAATAAATCACTTTTGATCAAAAGAATAAGCAGCATTTGTTTTTCACATTGAGAAACGGGAGTGGTCGTATTGTAGCCACCTACAATATGCCACATGATTGAGCAGGAGAATCATAACCCAGCTGAGCCCACTCGCTCTCAGGCTGACGGTGCTAGCGGCGGCCACAACATGATCTCAGTGACAGCAGCCATGGCTGGCCAGGCTCTGTTGCTAAGGGTTTTCCATGCCTCCAATGCATGCACCCTACCAATCACCCAAGGAGGGGGTGTTGTTTCTGTTTTGGGGATGTTTGGGATGAGGCCCAGAAAGGTTAAGCAGCTTGCTTGGGATCACACAGTAAGTAGCAAGACAAGAGCTTGCACTCAAGCTTGCCTAATTCCAGGAACCACTCCAGCACACTGCCCTCCGGGGTCTTCCCAAATGAATCATGCTTGTTCAGAAAGCCTATTGAAAGGACTATGTAATCACAGTAGAAGAGCTTGGGAAGAGTGTCAGGCAGTCTCTGGGGTGTTTGGGGTCTCCCGCGTCCACTCCCTGGCATTCCTGGAGGGCTCTAGTGAAAGCATGATTATCCCGGGCAGCCTTCAGCAGTGGAACTACATACAGGGAACACCAGGGTTAGGAAAAGCCGTGGGAGGGAGGAAGAAGCTAAAGGGGAGGGCATGCCCGCCTAGTGCCTGAGTAGCCTCAGGGTGTGCAGGGTGAGGAGTGGTGTTTTGGACACCGGCCCGGCCCCACCCTGCTGGCTGCCTCTGTGGGAGGAGGGTGGGGCCGTGAAGGGAGGGTTGTTTATAAGCACCTCTGGCTTTTTAAAGCACCAGCTGATGGCGCCACCTCCTTTGCTTCTAGCGTAAGGCCCCTCTGAGTCACTGTGGCTCCATCCACCTGCAGTCCCCAGCCCCAGCTGGGGCAGAAATGTAGGGCAGCAGAATAAGCGTAGGTTTTGAAGTCCAGCTGTGATTTGGACCAGCTGTGGGCAGATTACTTAACAGCTTTGTATCCTTTTTGAGGGTAGTAATACCCACTTTATGCAATTCTTGTGAGATCAAAATGAGTCCAAGCATGTGAAATACTTAATGCCTGGCACTTAAGAAATGTTCAACAACAATTATTGGAACAGTCTATTCCAAATTCGCCCATCCTCAGCCTGCAGTCAGGGTGGCTTTTGAGTGTACTGCAGATATGCTCCAGGGCAGCTTGAGAGAGGATATGGGAATTTTCCTGCCTCTCTTCACTTAGGTCTTTACACATGATCCTCATTTGTGGAGTGGTAGCAGTAAATCCTTGAAGGAAATGCATGCCCACAGTTCCGCTCCATGTTTACTAAAGACCTACTATGTGCAGACACTGCCAGGGACAGAAAAATGAATATGACATAGCCCTGCTCTCAGGGAACTTATAGTCCAGCTGAAAACATGCACACACACAAATAAGCAATTTAAATATTATGCATTAAATGCTGTGATGATGGTGTGCACAGAACGCTAAGACAGCACAGAGGAAGGACAATGAGAATAATCTTGGAGCTGAAGACAATGTCCCCAGAAGGGTGTGGTCTGAGTTGGGTCTTAAAGGACCAGGAGAAGTTAGCCAAGCTGGTGACCTTGGACTTAGCCAATGAACTAAGCTGGAACTACATTTCCCAGAATTCCCTTCCCTGTATGGCTCTGGGCTCGGACTGACCCCGTGAGAAATATGCATAAAGTCTGGAGGGTAGAAGGGAGTCAGCAGCTGTGTGGATGCTCCTTGTGTCAACATGGGGCTGGGTAGCTCACGCTTGTTGCAGATCCACAGGCTTCCCTTGTTGAGGTGAGGCAGCACCTTCAATGTCTCTGACTCCTAGGCCAGGTGTGTGTCTAGCTCAATGATGGAAGGTGCCAGCTTCCCTTGTAAGTGACCAGCACTGGGTCTGCTTCACCCTTCCGGGCTCCCAGGTGAGTTCTGGTTTGCCCTGGCTCTCCCCACTTCAAGCCTCTTTCCTTCCCAACTGCCTGCCCTGCTGACTTCAGGTGCAGAGCCAGATACAGAAAGAATAGGTGTGTGTAAACTGTTGAACCAGCTCCTACAATTGCATGGGTTGGGGTGGGGAGTCAAATCCTGTAATAAATTCCTTGTTTGAGATCACGTTGAATGATTCTACTTCTCTGGTTGATTTTTTTTTTTTTTTTGGAGACAGAGTCTTGCTGTTGTCACCCAGGCTGGAGTGCAATGGCGCGATTTCTGCTCACTGCGAACTTCGCCTCCCAGGTTCAAACGATTTTCCTGCCTCAGCCCTTCAAGTAGCTGGGATTACAGGCACCTGCCACCATGCCTGGCTACTTTTTGTATTTGTAGTAGAGATGGGATTTTACTTTGTTGGGGGCCAGGCTGGTCTCAAACTCCTCACTTCGGGTGATCCACCTGTTTCAGCCTCCCAAAGTGCTGGGATTACAGGTGTGAGCCACTGTGCTCAGCCCTCTGGTTGAATCTTGATGGATGGACCAATTAAGGATGGCTGGGGAAAAAGGTCCAGGCAGGAGGAGTAGAATGAGCAGAGTTATGAAAGGTGGGGTTCATCCAGGGAACCACAGGTAGCTTGGCATTTCTAGAAATAGGATCAGAAGCAGGGAGGGAAAGATGAGGCTAGAGAGGGAGGGAATGGCTGGGCTGTGGAGGAACTGAATGCCATACTGAACGTTTGGAGAATGCAAGACGCAGCTGAATGAGGGAGGCTTCTGTATGTGTGGCGATACTGCTGTGAGCAGTTTATGTGATCTGTTATGGTATTTACTGTCCTCTGAATAACGTTCCACATGACAAAAATGTACTTTTTAAAATGTTGTTTTTAAAAATGTACTTTTAAAAATGTTGTTTCCTTCCTACAGTCATGTAACAAGAATTAGGTGATATATTCTATCGGGACAGGATAGGTTATACTGTCTAATAAATAAACCACATATTTCAGTGGCTTCTTTATAAAGGGTTTGCCTTCCTCATGTCATGCTGGGCAGATGTTTTTCTTTGGTGACTCTTTATCAATCAGTGTCTCAGGGCTCCAGGTCCCTTTATTGTGGTATTGCAATCTTAAATGTGTGGTATTTGAGGCTGCCGAGAAAATGAGGTTGCAGATTGTGGGCAATCCTGCCAGTCGGGGTGGGGTGGGTCCCTGCTGGGCCTGAGCGTGGCTTCTGTAACTTCCAACAAGTCCTCACTAGTAGCACCTATTCACCCATCCCTAAATGCTAGCAGGCTGGGGAAGGTGGGCTGGGAAAAGGAAAATAAAATGGGATTTGGTAAATACAACGCATTGTAAATGACACTATGATCAGTTAGGAAGCTTTTCTTTATGGCTCAATCCCAGTAAAAGAGTAACTGTGCTGGTGCATGGTTGAAATGTGTAGGTTTCCTCTTCCATTACACCATTTGGATCTTCTGTCCTTATTTCCATGCTTTTAGATATTCAAAGACAAAAAACATCTTTAATTTTTCAAGTCACAACTGAATGCTTCTATTCTACCATTTTAAACTACTCCTCTGCTTCTATCTAGACAGGTGGCTCTAGCTTGACAAAGAACCTTTATATGAAAACACATATGGATCGAGGTTCTCCCTTCTTTTTCCTTTTCCTTTTCCTTTTTCTTTTTTTTTAAATGGAGACAGAGTCTCTCTCTGTCACCCAGGCTGGAGTGCAGTGGTGTGATCTTGGCTCACTGCAACCTCTACCTCCTGGGTTCAAGAGGTCCTTTTGCCTCAGCCTCCCAAGTAGCTGGGATTACAGGTACATGCCAACATGCCCGGCTAATTTTTGTATTTTTAGTGGAGATTGGGTTTCACCATGTTGACCAGGCCAGTCTCAAACTTCTGATCTCAAGTGATGTGCCCTCCCTAAGTGCTGAGATTACATGCGTAGGCCACCGTGCCCAGCCCCAAGTTTCTCTTTCTAGAATACTTTTCCTTTGTGCCCCAGGATGAATGCCTGGGTACCAGGGTTGTTTGGGTTAGAGAATATTAGCTAATGAAAATGTAGAATGGTTGCTTTTTATGATTATGCAAATATAGAAAGCAAACCAGTTACAGGTGGCCAAGGGCATCATCACCCTTCCCATGTCTGCTTGTCGCAAGTCTCCCCAGTCACAATTCATTTTTGGGGAGGCCAGCACAGGCAGGATATTACTGGTGTTTTGATTGATGGTTTAAAATGTGTTTCCCCTTAGACATAGTGTTACAGACAATGATTAGGTGTACCTGAAAGAGAACCATAGGTCATATTGTTTTTCAGGCACATGATGGATTAAGCAGGCAAAATTTAACCATTTGTTACATTAACTGTGGCAATTGTATTACAAGTTCCAGGCAAAGAACTTAAACTTTAAGAAAAGGTTCTTTCTTTTCTTTTTTTTCCCGATTTCCAAGAGGCTCTAATTGTAATTTTCATGCCATAATGTTTCAAAGGTCAAAACGATCGTGTATACTACTTTGAATTATAAGATATTACACAAAAGATAATTCTGTTATCATTTTTTGTAGAGAACCTCGGATTGAGCATTGTGATATTGTGACAGCTAATTTTATGTGTCAACTTGGCTAGGCTGTGGTACCCAGATAGTTGGTCAAACAGCAGTCTAGATGTTGTTGTAAAGGTATCTCATAGGTAGAGAAACATTTTAATCAGTAGAGTTTGAGTAAAGCAGATGACTGTCCACAACACAGAAGGGCTTCATCCTATCAGTTGAAGTCGTTAAGAGAAAACACTGAGGTTCCTGGAGGAAGAAGGATTTCTGTCTCCAGGCTGTCTTCAGAATCACACTGTTACTTCCTTTCTGGGTCTCCAGCCTGCTGGCTTTCCCTGCAGGCTTCAGTCTTACTAGCCCCTACAACAGCATGAGCCAATTCCTTAAAGTTATCCATACAATATCTATATCTATCTATCTACCTATCTATCAATCGTCTATCCACCTACCTATCTACCTATCAGTTTCCTACATTCTATTGGTTCTGTTTCTCTGGGGAATCCTGACTAGAGACATATTTTCAGAGAAAAGGAAAATCAACAATATTTACTAATTTGAATCTAAAAATATTAAGAATTGTACATCTGCATACAAATGTTCTTTGGGAAACACAAATCCAGTTGATGAAGGAATCTGTTTGTCTTCAGCCATCTTCCACCTTCTCCTTATTTTCTATAAGTCCTGTCTGAGGTCTCCCCACTTCTGCGTTCCCTGCTTGAGGGCACAGCAGGCAAACACTTTTAGGTGGGAGAACCCATAATCCAGTAATGAATTTAGGACTGTTCGCTTTCAAATCTATGGAGAGGGTTATTCTCACTTTCTCCTAACTATTATTTCACTTCTTATAAGGAATTTAATTCATGGTTAGGTACACATTCGATACCTTTCCAGAGACAAAGGAAATTGGAGCTAACAGATATTAAATAGCATTTAAGACATGAGCCAATGGAAGAAATGAACATTTAAAATATGACTGACATGGTCTCCGACCTACCAGTCCAGGTTTGGCTGAACTCCTGATGCTCTGTGTGATGTTCCATGCTTGGAATAGGGTTGGATATTTGAACAAGTAGGGTTGCACATAGAATAAAATGTCAGCTTTATGAAGGTGATTTGTATTGCTTGAGGTCTCACCTCCTAATAAGGTACGTAGGAGAAACAATAAATAACGCTGCTTATGCAACTGTCCATGTGGTGTGTCAAAAACCATTCATGTCTGTTGAAAAAGTCCAAATGAAACCAAAGTAAGAAACAGTGAAGAATTAAACATAATAGAGGTTAACTTACAGATGTCCAGTCTAGGATACATTTTAGAAAGCGTTCCAGTCTTTTCCTTATTATGTTGGAAGACAAATCTGAGAAGATTAAAAATGAGGGGTTTGGGGGAGGGCCGGATTAGAAGTTAAAATTATTCATGCTGCCTCTTTTTCTTTCCTTGTTTTAGAAAGTGGGAAGATAGTATATATCTTCTAAATTGAAATGACCCATCATAAACCTCATTATGTTAGAAATTCAAGTCCTATTTATCATCCTCATTAAAGACAAAAGCTCTCTAGGGGGCCGGGCGCGGTGGCTCAAGCCTGTAATCCCAGCACTTTGGGAGGCCGAGGTGGGTGGATCATGAGGTCAAGAGATCTAGACCATCCCGGTCAGCATGGTGAAACCCCGTCTCTACTAACAATACAAAAAATTAGCTGGACGTGGTGGCCTGTGCCTGTAGTCCCGGCTACTTGGGAGGCTGAGGCAGGAGAATTGCCTGAACCCAGGAGGCGGAAGTTGCAGTGAGCCAAGATTGCACCATTGCACTCCAGCCTGGGTAACAAGAGCGAAACTCCATCTCAAAAAAAAAAAAACCTCTCTAGGATGCAGCTGTCACTAACTCTATCCAGGACCAGTGGGAGAGAAGTTCAAAGTGAAAGCAGACAGCAATGTAGGCATTGACTTGTATTTCAGAAAGCACTGAAAAGAACAACTAGGGGACTAAAAATGAAATTTGTCTGTGCAGAGGAAATATGATTAGTTAAATCATAAACACGGAGTAACACTGCATTCAGGAATGAGGATCTCTGAGGTCTCATGCAGACTTGCAGTGTGAGATTTTGGGGGAATGACAGGCTACTTTCTGCTTTCCTAGAGATAACTGTTTCCTTTTTTTTTGAGACAGAGTCTTGCCCTGTTGCTCAGGCTGGCTGGAGTGCAGTGGTACAATCTTGGCTCACTGTAGTCTCCGCCCCTGCAAGTTCAAGCGATTCTCCTGTCTCAGCCTCCTAAGTAGCTGGGATTACAGGTGCACACCAACACACCTGGCTAATTTTTATATTTTTAGTAGAGATGGGGTTTCACCACGTTGGTCAGGCTGGCCCTGAACTCCTGACCTCAGGTGATCTGCCTGCCTCAGCCTCCCCAAGTGCTGGGATTACAGGCATGAGCCACCGCGCCTGGCCAACTGTTTCAATTTACATGTTAGTAAGGCAGCAGATATCCAGGGGTTCTTGCAGGTTCCCACGCCTGGAGCATTTAGCACAGTGCCTGGGACCCAGGAGGCTCTCCATATATTGCTGAGAAATTGATTTCTCAATAGATATTCTAAAATTAACATATCAAGGTTGTGCCTTAATATGTAATAGATTGTCACAATTAAGTTGTAGGGAACTTGTTCTCAGTCTCAGGTTTTTGTCTCTAATTATGCTTCCTTGGGCAAGTCAGTAATCTTCCCAGGCCTCAGTTTCCTCATCTGCATAATGAGGAGGGTCAATTAGATGGCCTTTATGTTCTCTCTGGCACAAGCATTCTATGAATCTGTGAAACTAGCTTCAGGGTACCCCAAACTTAAACCACATAAATCCTACTTTACAATTCAATCCAGTTCAACCATACACATTTAAACGAATATTTATTAATTTTGTATTTATCATCCACATTAAAGACATGTTCAGGACACTCCGTTATCTGCCAGAGGTAGATGAGGATGAAGGCTGCCATCTGCTCTTGTCCTCAAGGAGCCTACCCTCAGCAAGGGTGAAAGACAGGATGTGAAATGAGTACCAGAAGGTTCTAGAACTCCTCCGGGGCAACACTGTGTCCCTCAAATTGGGATGGTCATGTTCTTAGAACTGGGGGAGGGGCTGTGAGCTAAAAAAAGGAAAGTCGAATGAAATTCAAAAGGTAGTGAATTCACTATCACCTGAGCAGGAGCAGAGCTTCACCATGGAGGAAGCTCAGCGTATGTTTGGGAGAGAGCAAGTGTTACTCTTGAGCAGAATGACGGGGCAGGTGTGGAGAAACAGGAAAGGGAAGATGGAAACGGTAAGTGTTGGCAATTTGCAGAGGGTCTTGGACAAATGCAGAACACAGAGACTGTACTAAATAGCTGTAAACATTTCCTAGGAAGGGCACGAGAGGATGCTACATGACAGATCAATCAGAAAACAAATGGAGGGGATAGGGGGACACATCCATTCAGTTAGACAGAACTTGGGGGTGGCTGCGGATAGGACAGCTTCCTTGCCCTTGACCTGTTCAGACACAGGGTCCTGCTGTAAAAAGGAGTCCAGACCCAGACCCGAAGAAAGGGTTCTTGAATGCCACGCTAAAAAGAATTTGGGGTGAATCTATGGAATATAGCAAAAGCAAGTTTATTAGGGAAGTAAAGAGACAAAAGAATGGCTACTTCATACACAGAACAGCACTAAGGGCTGCTTGACTCAATGTGTTTATGGTTAATTCTTGATTATGTTAAATCTATGAGTTTTCTGGGAAAGGGGCAGGCAAGTCTCAGGACTGAGGGTTCTTCCCCTTTGTAGACCATATAGGCTAACTTCTGGATGTTGCATTTGTAAACTGTCTTGGTGCTGGTGGGAGTGTCTTTTAGCATGCTGATGCATTATAATTAGCATATAAGGAGCAGTGAGGATGAGCAGAGGTCACTTTTATCGCCATCTTGGTTTTAGTGGTTTTGATCTGCTTCTTTACTCCTGTTTTATCAGCAGGGTCTTTATGATCTGTATCTTGTGTGATAACAGTTCTGCTGACCTCCTATCTCATCCTGTGACTTAGTATGGGAATGCTGGGAATGTGGCCCAGCAGGTCTCAACCTTATTCTACCAGCCCCCATTCAAGATGGAGTCACTCTGTTATTTCCGAAGTCTCTGACAAAGGTGAATGTGGGACATCGTTGCTACTCAGACTCTGTACTTCTGAAGGTATTTCCTCATTTTGCTACAGTCTCACCTGGAAGTGGTTTTCCAAGACTGTTAGTGATGCAGCCTATGGTGGGGAAATTCACCCCTGCTCCTGGCTGATTGCCCATTGCTGGGGTTTTGGCCATCTAACAGTGGTTTGGGACATGTCTGGTTAAATGACTCTAACTGGAGTGGTCGTTGGTGATCCTTTTTAAATTTTGGGTATTTTTGTTTCTTGTCCCACCAGGACATACCACATCATAAGGCAGTGTTGAAAATGGGAGAGTCAGGATTATCTCTGGCTTTAATTGTCAACTTAATTGCTTTTTCATTTTTTGGTGAAGCAAATGGAGCCGAAACATATGTTCTTCACGGTTTATTATAAATAATGGCGATAATGAAATGTTCATTACTACCGGACCAGAAAGACAATACTACAAGGAATTTCATCTCCTGGTTTCTTTATTTCTTTTTAACCTGCCTGCCGCCTCTTTTGTTGTTTATTTGTTTTAAGCAAGTCCTGGCATTTTGTATGCCTTTTTGACATGGCAGCCTTAGAAATTTCATGCAGCAAGCAAACTTCACTCAGGGCAGCAGTCCTGGATAAAGAGATTGCGCTGCAGCACGCTGAATATTACTGGGCAGCGGCTCCGGTGGGAGATTATGGAGGGTTACATCCTCCTGTTCACTCCTGGCTGCAGGACTTCCTCCCAACTCCCTCCGTTTCACTGGTCCCTCTTTCTTCTCTGTTTTTGTTTTTGGGCAATGGACCCACTGAATGGCCTTTCCTCAGCTTGCCACTTTCTTCCTCAGGATTTTTGTTCTCTTGTCGATCTTTGGCAAAGTCTCTGCACATGTATTTGAGTTTTTATCCAAAGATTTCTTTTTTCTTGTCTTTTTTTCCATACTGTATTTTGATTTACATTACAAAAGAGCTTGCCCTTTTGCCGATTGAACAATGGATCATTCATACTTAAGTTTTAGATGTTTGGGTATCTTGACACACATGTAAGAGCAGATGTTTTCATGCAAGTGTGACTGTCAGAGTTAATTCAGCTTTGTTTGCAACTGCTATTTTAATGAAATTTTGACTTTTTTTTGACTCTCACTCCTTCCCACTTGTGGTATTTTACTTATTTGGAAATACACTATTCACTACATAGTAGAATTAGATGTTATTCCCCTGTGGTTGATATCTTTGCCTCTAAAGCTGACTTTCTAAGTTTTCAGCATTCTTGAATATAATGCTTCTGCAGTAGGCAGAAAAGCCCAGTGTATGGTAGATATATTCTTCTAAACAGTTGCCCTAGGAATGACATACCCACGGTTTCAGAAGATTAACATAGTGTTTTTTCTGGTGGGTCTCATGCACACACACACACCACAATGCAAACGTTATGCTCAACAGAGAAAAAGTTATGGTGCACAAGAAAACAAAACCCAAAAGATAAAAGGCAGAGCAAAAACCTCTTCAAAGTAAAGTATTTGTTTAAACTCACTAAATTACACATTTTGGACCCTAAAAATGTTTGTGAAAAGTGCTCTGAAATTATCAGACCACAATACTCCTTTTGAGTCTGAAAAACATCTTGAGGTTGGGTGACATGGTGCATGGCGGCTGGGCTGGCCAAAGAAGGATGTGTAGTCAAGAGTGTTGATGGGAGACAAGGGGGTGATGGAGAACTGAGGACCTGTCTCTGCAGGTTTACAGACTGGGCATGATGGAAGCAAGGGGGTGATAGGGCTCACAAGACGGGCACTTTGGTGAGAGAGAGGAGATGTTGGCTATTTAATGCTTCAAAGGAATCTCAAAGTTCTGCATGTGACGTCGGACTTTGAGAGCTTGTTTGGAGGTTCCAGCAGGGGAGCACAGCTACTTGTATACTCTTGACCGAAGACCAGTCCTCCTCTATCGGGGATGGTCATCCTCTTTGACCTGCGCAGCTTTGGGAGGGACGCACATGGAGCAGTGAGGGAGGCAGGGGACACCCACCTAGCCAGCCAGGTCAGCAGAATCAACCCTGGCAATCAATGGGGTGACAGATGTTGCAGCCAGATTGCCCTCACATCCCTGCATGTGACATTGGGTGTGGGTAGAGTCAGCAGGGAATGAAGTGGAGGTAAAGGTGGGTAGAGCTGAGGTGCTCAGAAACCAATGAGGTGGACGGGCTTCTAGGTGGTCTACGTAGACGCTGCTGTCACCCAGCATGTTAGTAGCTCAGGAGAGAGGACAGAACTGTGAGCTGAACACTGTGTCTCTTCCCATGACCCTCCTTAACTAATTGTTAATCCATCATTCATTCAACATTCATTCAAAAATGAATGTACATTAAGTGAGGATGCCATGGCATTGTTAATTGCTGAAATTACAAAAATAAATCCAGCCAGGCATGGTGGCTTACGTCTGTAATCCCAGCACTTTGGGAGGCCAAGGCAGGCAGATGACCTGAGGTCAGGAGTTCAAGACCAGCCTGGCCAACAGGTGAAACCCTGTCTCTGCTAAAAATACAAAAGTTAGCTGGGTGTGATAGCGCACACCTGTAATTCCAGCTACAGGCTGGAGGCAGGAGAACGGCTTGAATCCGAGAAGTGGCGGTTGCTGTGAGCCAAGATCACACCATTGCACTCCAGCCTGGGCTACAAGAGTAAAACTCCACCTCAAAAATAATAATAATAATGATAATTAATTAAAAATAAATAAATCAGACATGGTGACAGAGCATGGAAAGCATACTGGCTGATTGATAAGGGTGAGCATGTACCAGTTATCTCAACCAGAGCTTGTAAACCCACAGGGTTGCAGGGGCCAGGTGGGGCATGAGAAGATGAGGCCAGCAGGTGGAATAAAGAGGAAACATTTGGTGACTGTGGTGAACTGGAGAGCTCATAGCTCATTCCATGTTGGCGAATCTTTCGATTTAAAAAAGAAAAAGCCAGACACAGTGGCTCATGCCTATAATGCCAACTACTCAGTTGGGACTCTCCAAGACAGGAGAGTCACTTGAGCCTAGGAGTTTGAGGCTGTAGTGAGCTATGTTTGCACCACTGAATTGCAGCCTGCGTGATAGAATGAGACCCCATCTCTTAAAAAATAAAAATATAAAATAAATTTTAAAAATAAAAGAAATGAAGATTTCTGGGAATGAAATTTCCCAATTTAAAAACTTTAGCAAATAATTAAACAAATAAAAATATAGTTAGCATGGGCCAGTGATTTGTGTCTTCTGATTGAAATGATTGGAGCTGCAGGCCAACTTTGGTTCTTGTTCTGGTTCTACCCTTAGTTTGCTAATGATCTTCCACAGGTCACCTAACATCTCTGACCCCAGTGGCATCTAAAAGGAGCAGGAAGCTGTAGGGCATGGGCTCTAGGGTCTTTCCCAGTTCTCTGATTGTGATTTCAGCATCCAAAGAGACTGCTGATTAATTTCCTTGTGCCAAGAAGGGTGGAAAGTATGGGACCATATCTATGATGTTTCTTCCTCTGAAATGTGCAGTGTCAACAGAGGGCTGTCACTCTGGTCTCTCTGGGGGAATTCCTTGTGGTGACTAATATTGGCCTCACTGGACTCTGAGAAGGAGCTAGCTTTGGAAACCACCATGATGAACTTCTGTTTTCCTTTTTCTCTCCCATGTTTGTGATCAACAAGGGAGGCAAAGGAATTGTTCAGACAGACATTTGCTGGAATCCCAGGTCTGTCCGTTAATGATCTCTGTGATTGGGCAAGTGATTTCCCTTGAGTCTTAACTATCACTGGCTGAAGAGCTAGAAAAGAGAATGTCCTCCCGTAAACACATGGATACTTCCCTCTGCCAGAGGAGAAACTTATCATCGTGTGTCTATTTGTTTTTTTGTTTTGCCTCGACTACTAGTAAGTTGACCAGAAAGCAAAATATCTGGAACAAGTTAGTTTAATTCTCTGAAGAATTTCTTTGACTAAATTATAATTGAATGTCATCATCTTAGTGTGTTTTTTTTCCTCCATATTATCTTCAAAATTGCAGTCAATGGTATTTTTCAAAATGGTTCAACCTGGGCAACATGACAAAACTCCATACAAAAAAGACAAAAATTAGTTGTGTGTGGTGACATGTGCCTGTGGTTCCAGCTACCTAGGAGGCTGATGTGGGAGGATCACCTGAGCCTGGGGAGGTTGAGGCTGCAGTGAGCTGTGATGGTGCCACTGCAAGACCCTGTCTCAAAAAACAAACAACAAACAAATAAAATGTTTACAGTGTTTCTTACATGGAAAGATAAACAGAAAGCTTCTGTGAAGGAGGCTGGTAGAGTTATTTGCTGGCCATCTGGCTTCCCACTGAGCTTTTGTTTTCCTGCATAAGGTCTGGAGGGGAGGGCACTGAGTGGAATTGCTTGGGCCAATAGAGAGGACTTCTGGAAGCTGCACGAGGAGTGGAGAAACAGGAGGAACAGAAACCTAGTTAAGGGCCACTGGAAAAAAGCCTTGGGATGGATAAGGACAGAGATACCTATTGTGTAGTTGGTTGAGGTTTTGCTATGTACTGTGTGACACTCTCTCCCTCTTCATCTCCTCACAGAAAGACACCACTTACCAGTGACTTTTGCTGTTTTTTTGATGAGCCAACTTTAAGGCATGTTCAAATTGAACAGAGACCACCTAAATGGTCCAGCCACCCTCGAGTTACAGTGATAGAGGGCTACCATAATATCTTCTTGCCGAATAGCATTGCCAGAAAACAGTATGTCTTACCCAATGAAAGTGTATGCTTCCCTCTGCCTAAAGAGAACTATGTGACTCATGGAATGTTTGTTCAGCATTCGCTAAACAAGGTTAGAACAAGATGTAGTGCTCAATTGTATATCACATTTCTTTGTTCTCTCTCATGTAATTTCAGATCTCTCATTGCTATGTTTTTTTAAACTGCATATTTTGTATGTTTTCAAGACATCTCATATTTGTGTGTTTTGAGACACCCCAAATGGTTTGCAGAAGCCAGGTAGGGGCTAAGCCAGCACTATCCAGTGGAATTTTCTGTGTGATGGAGACGTTCTGTATCTGTGCCGTCCAAAATGGTGGCCACCACACATGTAGCTCTTGAGCACTTGAAATGTGTTTAGTACGACTGAGAAACTAAATGTTCAACTTTGTTTAATTTTAATTAACTTAAATTTAAGTTTAAATAGCCACCTGTGGCTGCCCTGTTGGACGGCACAGGCCTATACCATTTATAAATAAACAAATGCTTTTGAACATCTGGAAAGGGTTTCTTCTCAAGTTCAAATGTTCTTTACATGATGAATTTATTTAGAATAATCTTTTTGTGTAATAAGAAATAATTATTTGTGTTTGTATAATAAGGAATAATAAGGAAGTTTAAACTCCATTTACTTCTAAAAATAACAAAATTAACCAAGTACTTTATATTCACTGGCGCTTTGGTAGTTTCATTATCAATTTACATCCAAACTTTTACTAAATAACTGAAAATAGGCTTGCCTAACCATTAGACCTAGATGATAGTTTTTATTTTAAATTGGAAGTCTGTGAGAGACAACTTTAAAAAAATAAATTGTAGTTCTATTTCTTGACCTGGGTGGTATTACCGAGGTGTTTGACTTTATAACTGCTTAACTGTTCTTACATGTCATAGGCACGTTTTCAGAATCTGTTAATTTTCACAATAAAATATAAAAATGATAGTCTTTTTCAATTTTAAAAGTATAATGTGATGAAATTGTAAAAGTATTTACGTCATAGCCTGATTAAGGAAACTTCATAGAAAATCTAGAAATAAATCAAGAACAAATGGAACTTAGTATATAATATATGTGGCATTTCAAGTTAGTGGAGAGAAATATGAATTACTTAACAACTGGTGATGGGAATATTTTTATCTATTTCATAGAGTTACACTATGCATTGAAATTTATATTTACTGGGATTAGGTTGTTGCTATTTGAATTTACCGTTTTTCCCAATTAAAAAACAATGGTGTTAGGATACTGTTTAGTTATTCAGGGTCAAACTATGGCCACTTACATTTACATACAAGGCCAGGAGCAGTGGCTCACACCTGTAATCTGAGCACTTTGGGAAGCCAGTCCTTGAGGATCCCTTAAGTCCAGGAGTTTGAGACCAGCCTGGGCAACATATGAGATCCCGTCTCTAAAATTAAAAAAAAAAAAAAAAATTTACATTTACATTCAAATATGTAAGTTAAGAGCAGGCACTGATATTACATTTTCCCAGGAAGTCTCTATTACGTTCAGTTTTAATTAAAACTGAAAAAAGTAAAAGATCTTAAAAGATTATAAAGTTGGAATGTGGCATCCAATGAAAGTGATTGTAAAAACCTAAATCTAAAATATCCCTTTTGGAAAGATGTTTATTATTATTAAAAAATGTTTTTCAGCTGTTACCTGCAATTTTTTTCTTACTTAATTTGAATCTCAGTAGGTTGAGATTCTTACTTTAATTAATTATGAACCCCGAATTAATTCTAGATAGATCAGTGTTTACACAGAAGAAAGTGAAGTCATAAGAAAAAAAAAGGAAATATTGGTGAGAACTCTTTAAATAATCTTTGAGTGGAAAAGGGCTTTCTACCATACTACCAAATTCAGGAACCACAATGGAAAATAATCATAAATTTGACTATAGACTTAGGAAAAATCTCATTGTAACAGGAATCTTCATAAAGTAAAAGCACAAACAAACGTATTTACAACATAATGGCAATAGACAGTCTGATTTCCATAAACCATGCAAAAAGTTCTTTTAAATTTGTTTTTAAAATAATAGAAAAATGGGAAAGATAATTCACATAGAAAGAAATATAAATAGCCAATGAATATAAGATAGTTTCAGTTATTAAAGGAATTCAGATTAAAGCTTTACTTTTGAAAATAAGTTAATTATTTACAAGGAAGTGTAATACTGTCAATCAACTGGCAGTGTTATTTTATCTCTTCCTGAATTTTAAACTTGCCATGCATACCTTTAGCAAAATCTTCAGGAAGCGGTTTCTGTGAAAATGACCCCTTCAACAATTAGAATGACTGAAAAAGAGAAAAGGTGATCTCATGGGTGCAGAAGGATGCAGAGTAATTGGAATTCTCATTCATTGCTGGTGGGAAGGCAAAAGGCTCAACCACTTTGGAAAGCACTTTGGCAGTTTCTTATGAAGTTAAACACACATTTACCACACAATTCAGCAATCTCACTCCTAGGCATTTACTCAAGAGAACTGGAAACTTTCGTTCCAATGAAAATTGTGCATGAATGTTTCTAGCACATTTATTCATAATCACCAAAAACTGGGAACAAGCCAAACATCTTCAACTGGTGAGTGTGTAAACAAACCATGGCATGTCCAAATACTGGAATACTACTCAGGAATAAAAGGGAACAAATTACTGATTAATGTAACAACATAGATGAATTTCATACTAAGTGACAGAAGCCAAACTCAAAAGACACATTCTGTACAATTCCATTTACATAACATCCTAGAACACACAAAATTATAGGAAGAGATCAGTAGTTGCCAGGAGTTCATCATGGGGGGCTGGGGTTGATTACAAAAGGGCAAGGAAATTTTGGAGGTGATGGAACTGTTCTGTCTTGATTATGGTGGTCTAACTGCATGCACTCATCAGATTCATAGAAATACATACCAAAGAAGTTAATTGTATTGTACATAAATTAAGTGAATAAAAGGCTGATGTCTTTCTAAATTATTGTATTAGACTGAAAGCAAAACAGGTTCTTATTTCTCCATTTTTTGACTTAGATTTGATAATTGATGTTCCTTTATTTCTGAAGTAGACTTCTACACTGATGTATAACATACACATAAAAGTACACAGATCATACCTGTAAAGCTTGACGAACTGTTACAACTGATGCATTTAACCAACTGCCACACAGATCAAGAGACAGGCTGGGCACAGTGGCTCACTCCTGGAACCCCAGCCAGTACTTTGGGAGGCGGTGGTGGGAGGATTCCTTGAGGCCAGGAGTTTGAGACTAGCTTGGGTAACATAGGGAGACTTTGTCTCTACAAAATACAAAAATTAGCTGGGCATGGTGGCACATGTGTGTGGTCCCAGCTATTCGGGAGGCTGAGATGGGAGGATCACTTGAGCCCAGGGAAGTCGAGGCTACTGCACTCCAGCCTGAGTGACAGAATAAGACCAAACCAAAAAAGACAAAAAGACATAGGACATTATTAGACACCCCTCCCCTACCCCCCTTAATCTCTCAGAACCAGTATTCTGACTTCCAACACTAGAGATTATAGCTGTTTTTTAACTTTGTGCAGATAAAATCATACACTATTGAATACTATGCTCTTGATAGGTTCACTTATAATTTCAAATTCATTTTGTGTATTAAGCAGCATATATATGCCAAATAACAATGAGGAGACTAGACTGGTCAAGCACTATGGTCACCTCTAGGTCCCAAATGAAGTCTGAGAGTTGAGAGAACTCTGACATACTTTTTGTTTGAAATACATTTTTGGCCAGCCAAATCAGCCTTTTTTTTTTTTTTTTTCTTTTTTTTAAAGCTAATCGAAAGGCATTTGGGAAATGCATACCATACTGTTTCTTTATGATCTCCAGAATAATATTTTTCTCCAGTATTATTTTCCATAGTATGGGTAGACATCAGTCTTAAAATTGGCCTGACACCCTGATCGTGTCATATGATACAACCTTGGTACTTCACCCAGTGATGATCTATGAAGTTTTCCTGCTTTGTTCTTTGGAGATCAGGCTTGACTTTTGCTCAGTTATATTTAAAGCTGTGGTGAGAAGAGACTTCTGAAAAATAGGATACTGAAGCCTGCTGTAAACTTGAATATTTGAAAACCTCCAATAAAAGTAAATCCATACGGCTGGTCTGGTCCCAGCTTGACTCCTGCATAATTGGGTCCGAGATCCTTTATGAACTTGTGTGAGTGTGTGCGTGTGTGTGCTTACAATCTTGTATATGCTCTTTGTGGTGGAAGTCAGTTATGCTGGTTTTTGTTTTTGTTATTCTTTCCAGTGAGAGAACCTGGAGTATCAGTTCTCAGTTTCAGGGTTGGGGCAGGTTTTATTTTCTTAACAGTTACCAAGCCACAAAAGAGAAGAACAGAACAATCTCTGACAATTAAAAAATGTCTTGAAAAATAATGTCAATAACAAATACTAATTTTTAAGACTTCAGTGTGCTCTCCAACAAATTCAAAGCCTAAATTAAATATTACACACTTGGATCCTTTTTACCAAGCCTGATGGACCAGTGTCAGCCCCAACCACACAGCTCAAGTGAAGGATGTCCCCAAGCTGGGTGTGACCAGTGGGGCCACCAAACCATGGGTTCCTTGGTTATTATAACTCAAAAATACTCAAAAGACTGGCCTTTGTGAATAGGACTCAACCAGAAGATTCTTCATTGTATTCACTCATTTCCTCTCTCCACCTTTTATTGTTAGAATTCCAACTCTAGGCTGGGTGCCGTGGCTCAAGCCTGTAATTCCAGCACTTTGGTAGGCAGAGGTGGGTGGATTACTTGAAGTCAGGAGTTTGAGATCAGCCTGGCCAACATGGTGAAACCCCGTTTCTACTAAAAATATGAAAAATAGCTGGGCGTGATGGCTTGTGCCTAAAGTCCCAGCTACTCGAGAGGCTGAGGCAGGAAGAATTGATTGAACCTGGGAGGCAGAGGTTGCAGTGAGCTGAGATGGCACCACTGCACTCAAGCTGGGCGACAGAGTGAGACTGTCTAAAAAAAAAAAAAAAAAAAAAAAAAAATTCAACTCAAACACTTCTCACTCTTCACAGTGAGAGTTTTAATGCAAATAAGTTTTTTTTTTTTTTTTCATTTTTGCTGTTGTTTATTGTTGTTAGTTTCCAAGTTGAGATCTTGGCAAGATTCACAGATTAAATTATAAACTGCCCCTAAGGGACTCAATACAAGTTGGCACTAAGGGTCTACAAATAAAATCATAGAATGTTAGTGTTGGAAGTCTAATTGGTTTCATTCTGCAAAGGAGTGACTGGGCTCAAAGAAGGTACGTGGCTCGCCTGAGGTTCCATAGGTAATTAGTGGTGGAGGAGGAACAGTATCTTGGAAGCCTCCAGTTTTCCAGTCAAGCACTCTTTTCCTGTTTTATTTTTCATTCTCCCAGAATATACTTAGGTGGGTTGGATTGTTGCAGTTGAAAGTGTGTGCTTTGGAGTTGTGTCTCAGGGATTTTAGTTAAGATGTTTAGTTAAAGGGATTTATTGGATCCTGTAACTGAATAGTCTGAGGGAGGGTGAACTTTGGGAATGGTTTGATTTGGCAGCCTTGTGACATCTTCCAAGACAAGGCTTCTCTTTCACCTTCCCATTTTAGCCTTCCATGGTGTCATCTCTTTGTGGTTAATATATGGCTGTCAGTAACTCTCTGGTCTGCATGCTTCTTCATCAGGACCCAGGAAGTGAGTGAAGGGGTCATTCTGGAAGCTTCCAGAAGACCGCATCAAACCTTTCTCCACATTTCACTAGCTTTTGTGGCAGATGGGCCCGTTTCTAAATCTTCAGCTGCAGTCGGGGGATCAGGATATACTGATTAACTTAAGCCTAAGCAAATGTATTGCTCTGAAATCAGTCTCCTTCCCCTAAAGTGTGTGAATGTCACTAAAAATGTGGGTAAAAAAGAAATCGAGGTAGTTGCCAAGAAAGGGAAAATACATGTCAGGAGGCGACTCAATGTCTACTACAGTTGTAAGTATCAGAAATCAACCAGAACTAGCTTAAACAAGAGTGGGAATTTATTACACAGATACAGGAGTGTCTCATGGACCTGAGGCCAGGGATGCTGCAGAGCATGAGCAGAGGGGTGGGAGTCAAGAACCAGAGAGCCATCAGGAACCCAAATTGCCACCCTGCCCTGCCCTCCCTGCCTTCCCTGCTCCTCTTTTCCCTTCCTTCCCTTCTCCTTCTTCCTCTCTCCACTGACTAGCTGTCTCAGATTTCTTTTTTTCATTCTTTCTTTGTTTTGTTTTATTTGTTTGTTTTTTTTGTGTTTGACATGGAGTTTTGCCCCTTTGGCTCAGGATGGAGTTCAGTGGCACGATCTTGGCTCACTGTAACCTCTGCTTCCCGGGTTCAAGTGATTCTCCTTCCTCAGCTTCCGGAGTAGCTGGGACTACAGGCACATGTCACCATGCCCAGCTAATTTTTGTATTTTTAATAGGGATGGGGTTTCACCATGTTAGGCTGATCTCGAACTGCTGAGCTCAAGTGTCCTGCCTGCCTCAGCCTCCCAAAGTGCTGGGATTACAGGCGTGAACCAATGCACCCCGCACCTGTCTCAGATTTCTTATTCCTCATCCCTATTTGGCCAGCCTGGATCCAGTGTCCACCTTGGGATAAGCAGGATGCACTAACACAGATTTCCAGGCCCCTCCGTGTGGTGATGTGGGGTGAGATGGAGGTCCTGGTGGGCCCGTAGTTCTTAGAGCATTAAGGCTGAGATGGCTCCCCCTGAAGGCACTGCGAAAAGGGGATTTTCAGCCCTGGGTCATGATCGTGCTGCAAGGTTCTTGCACATGTTACGTGGTTCTTACGTGGTTCTGAGGTGCAGCCGATTGGGGAAATTACTCCATGGGCGAGACATCTGTTGTCAGTGCCACCCTCCAACCCCCACCATCCCCCGCCATGGTCAGGACAGGGAGAAGCAGATGACATGGGTAAGAAGAGAATTTTTACTTCTAAATGGCTTCAATGGAAATTTGCAGCCATGAAACCGAAAGGAGGTATTTGCTGAATCACAGGCACATTTTTCTGGTGTATGAAGCTAAATGTGGGGAAGGACGTTAATGAGAGCTGGTCCACAACGATCTCTTTCAAACCGGAATTGCTCGGTGCTGATGATCTCCACCTGAGCTAGGGAGCCCCCACCTGAAAGGAGATAGCACATTCTCAAGCTTCTCAGACTCAGGTGCTGGCTCTCTGTTGACTCTGCAGCTCCACCCTTTCCTCCAGTAGGTGAGTCATGGCGCTGGGCGGCAGTGTCTGAGGTCTGAGAGCAAAGGCAGAGACGACTCTTTTGGGGGCTTGCAACTGTCCATTGCAGCGAGGAGTCCTTTTTTTTTTTTTTTTTTTGAAGACGGAGTTTCGCTCTTGTTACCCAGGCTGGAGTGCAATGGCTCGATCTCGGCTCACCGCAACCTCCGCCTCCTGGGTTCAGGCAATTCTCCTGCCTCAGCCTCCTGAGTAGCTGGGATTACAGGCACGCACCACCATGCCCAGCTAATTTTTTGTATCTTTAGTAGAGACGGGGTTTCACCATGCTGACCAGGATGGTCTCGATCTCTTAACCTCGTGATCCACCCGCCTTGGCCTCCCAAAGTGCTGGGATTACAGGCTTGAGCCACCGCGCCCGGCCAGGAGTCCTTTTAATCTCACCCTTGAGGGTACATCTATCAGAGCTTTTGTCTGTTTTACAACTTCCTCCTAAACCTAGAACAATGGATTTAGAAAAGGGCAGGAAATCTGTGAGTGTCTACCCCAGGGAAGGGGGCATGAGTAGCATGGTTGCCTGGTGTCTGTTAGGTTATGTCATTTAATACGGGCTGGGGTTTGTGGGTTTGAAAACTGAGAAATTTCAAGAGGATCTCACCTCAAGTGCCTTCAAAATTCCCATGGGAGCAGGATCATTTTGAGAGGCTAGCAAAAAATATATAGGAGAGAAAAAAGAAGTGAAAGAAAGAAAATAACAATAAAGTATATAGCGGAAGTGGCTCAGGTTAGCCAAAAGTTAGGGGTTTAAGAACATGAAAAAACCCCAAGGGAGACCTCATTAAAGAGTGAGGTTTTATTAAGGAATTTGGTTTTAGTGCTAAAACCGGAAGGGGTTTGACAGAAGAGGAGAAAAAAGATGGGATTAATGCTGGCATGATTAAGCATCAACTACGGATTTATGGGTTGGATACGAAGGGCAGCAGCTGCGCAGTAACTTTAATAGCACTTTGGACTTTATAACATTCTCTTCTCACATTTCCATTTATTTCATCCTCAAAGCCACATTCTGAGGTAGGCATTATTCCCATTTTGTGGACGAATAAAATGAGGCTCAATAAGGTCAGTACTTTGTTTCAAGTCTCCTACCTGGTCCGCTTTGGAGCTGGAATATGGATTCAGGTCTTCTAATGCATCATGCATCCTAATATTCTCTCACCCATCACAATTACGAAAGCCCGTCAGCCTTTATTATCCCACTCTATATTCATAATGACACAGTAGCATAGATATGTTTATGTCTATTCTGGCTAAACGGCAATGATATTTACCACGTACTGACTATCCCTTATGGTTTGCCAGGAATAAAGAGGGCCCTGAGTTCTCCATAGATATGATCTCTTTTGACTCCTTACACAATCCCATGATCCTCCATTTTAAAGGTGGGGAAACCAAGGGCTGGAGAGGCTGGAATATTTGCCCAAAGCTCTCCAGCTGTGGAACTCCAGCCTGAGTTCTCACTCCAGAGCCATTTGTCATCAGTCTGCTGAGTCAGTCTACACAGAATGGTGCTGAACCTTGAGTCCAGGCTTCCCAGGCTTCCTACATCCAGCTCACTGGATTACACTTTTTTTTTTAATTTATTTTTTTTAAGACAAAGGGTCTTGCTTGTTTGCCTAGGCTAGAGTGCAGTGGTGCCGTCATAGTTCACTGCAGCCTCCAACTCCTGGGCTTAAGCCATCCTCCCTCCTCAGCCTCCAGAGTAGCTGAGACCACAGGTGTCTACCACCATGCCCATTTAATTTTTTAACTTTTATTTTTGTAGAAACAGGGGTCTTGGATTGCTGCCCTGACTGGTCTTGAACTCTTGGCCTCAAGTAATCCTCCCACGGCAGCTATCAGAATTATACTCATTTAATGAACACTAAGTGAGTTCCTCTTAGTGCTAGGCATGTTGCTAAGTGATAAGGAGGAAAATTTGCACAGAAGATGTTTCTGTGCTCCGACAGCTCTCAGAATAATAGAAAGTACCACGGCACCATTCACACTGTATGACATTCACACTATGTGTGACCGTGGTGTGTGTGGCGTCCTGGGTGCCTGGGGTCACTGGCACACCACTGCGTGGAAGTGTGTTTCTGAGAGGCAAAGGCATAGTCATAGTCAGGCCTGCTTGCCCAGGAGGCACAGTGCTGAGGGCCCAAGGTACTTGGAGGAGTCCACAAAAGTGTTTTTATTTCTTTTAAAATCAGAGGAAAAGAAGTAAATTTTTAGGCTGAAGTCTTTGTGTTTTCACATGTCAGATTCATATATTTGTCTTTATGCCAATGTGGCTACAAATTATAATTTATACGTGTACATTATTTTCTTTTTTGGTGGAGGAAAAGTCGAGGAAGACAGAAATGCCCAAGGGCCCACTAGAGTCCTAACACACCCCGAATACAGGAATTTACTGGGAGGCAAAGCTCCTTCCTGGATTCTGGACCTGGTTTCATTATATGCTGTGGGACTGGTGGCGTGGGCTTCGTGCTCCTTCAGTCCGACTTCCAGGTTCATCAGGAGCTTTAACTTCAGGCAGCGCTCAGAGAGAACAATTTTTTGTGTTTTGAGACAGGGTCTCACTCACTCCATCACCCAGGCTGGAGTACAGTGGTTTTATCTTGGCTCACTTCAGCGTCAACCTCCTGGTCTCAAGGAATCTTCCCACCTCAGCCTCCCTGAAGCAGGAGGGCCACAAACAAACCTCTCGAACACTGAACAGGGAAGGAAGTGGTAATTTTATTCTGCAGGGAGTTGCAGTGGCATAGGTGCCTCAACAACCAAGCTCCCTGACAAAGATAACCCTGGCCTTTTAAAGGCTCACAGTCTAAGAGGTGCACATGTGAGAGGGTCAAGAGCATGGGGGACCTGACTTAGGTGGGAGGGTCTAATCATGATTAAGCAAGAGCAGTACCTTCCAGGGAAAATCCTCCATATCGTATCTGTGATCTATATAGATGGGATTGTGGTTAGCAGTAGGGGGTTTAATCTTTTGGACCTGGCCAGCGGCGCCAACCGGTCTCTCCTCTGGCTGACTTTTAACTTCTCTTTTTGAGTTGCAATGTCGAAGTCTAAAAGGGAAATGGAATGGCCTTATAAGCTCAAAAGGAGAGGGTCTCCCTCCTCATCCCCCTCTTTGAGAACTTCGCCTGTAACGTTAGTGAGAGTTCTCACTCTCATTCTCATTTTCCCGATCCTCTAAAGAAACTGATTGATAATGATTCACATAATATACTGTGATGTGGTTCTCTAGTTAACCACAGCAGTGATGAATCCTCTGATCATCTGAAGGAATAGGGGGAGAAAACAAGGGAGTAGCAAGCAAACACCTATTATTATTACAGCACTTGTGATGAGAGTCTTGAATCCTCCCAAGGATGAGATCCAACCTCCAAACGAGGACTCAGGGTTAAATCCGCATCATACCTGCACAGGCACGTGTGCCAGCTTGGTCGTGTCTCTGACAATATCCTCCACTGCTTGACCCTGGTCCTCTATGTGTAGGCAGCAGTTGGTTAGATTGAATTTTCCACAGTCTCCTCCTTCAGCTGCTAGCAAATAATCTAAGGCCAGCCAGTTCTGATAAATCACATTTCTCATTTGAGTTTCTTGTCAGGCCAAAAGGGACAGAGCTTTGCCTGTTTCATTAGTGAGTATTTCCAAGACAGCCTGCAACCAGATGATCCGGTGGAGCATGTAAATAAAGTCTGCTATCCCCATGAGCCATCCTCAGCCATGTGGCCAGCCCATAATACTCAATAATTCTCTCCGGTGGCCACTCATCATCTTTCCATTCACCTATCTTTAGACTTCTTTTCTCCCGGGCAGAGTAGACTGGATATCCTAACAGCTCACCTGTCTTAACAGGTAATAGGAAAAAAGAAGGCTTAAGTGCCTATGACACAGCTACCTGTCCATATTTCAGGCAGTTGTACATACGTTCTATGTCACATATCCAGTACAACCCAGCTGGGACTGTCCAGTCTCTCTGATACCCAGGATGGTTCCAAGCATCCTGTAGTTTTGGGAATTTTAGGAGGGGTTTTTTTTCTGTGTAATTTGAACTCCATCAGGTTACAGTACCCACTGTTTCATTACACAATTGTTGCCCTAAGCAGCTAAGCTTTCCTACTGGAATAGTGAAGTCTTTTCCTTCTCTGGTCAAACAGTATTGTCCAATAATGGAAACCTTTAAAACCCAAACACTGTTGGTTTGAATTCTTTGAACTGAGGTTAGGTCAGGGACAGGGTCAGAGGGTACTAACTCACGAGCTTCCCATGGCCACTGATCACCCACAGAGTAGTTCCTCCACAAACATAGCAAGAAGTGACATTAAAGGAATGGGCTACATTTTCAGACAGTTGGAGGCACAAGTTCTTTGACTTTTTCAGAAGCTGCAGCACTGGCTCATTTAATATATCATAGAAAGTCTGGTACACTGGCTGGGAGGAGCATTTTTGGATCTGGATACTGACTCCAGGATCAAGTCCTTTTCCATCAATTCCTAACTTTACACTCACCCCATTTTCCCTTTTGGGTTCTTGGGGGTTTGTGATTATCAATTCTACCAGGTTGCAATGTCTGGAGAGGCAGGAGACTACCCCATGGAATGGTGTCCCTCCTTTTTACAAGACGAATGGGATCATTTTTATCATCTTTCTGAGTGGCCCAGATAATGGGTAATCAATAAATGCATTCACTGCACCAGGAGGTTTTCTGGCAGATGTACTTATGCTCGTTTGCATAACTTTGTTCCCATCCGAGGGACCCACAGCCCCCCATCTGGAATGACAGGCACTGATGGCTGCACAGGCATCAAACGTTAGGGTGACCTGCTTTGGGCTTCCCTTCTCCTCTGTTTTAGCTATTAACTTAGTCAGGCTGTTCCATCGCCCCATTATGAGTTTAATTTCAAAAGTCATATGTGTAGGGGGTTCTGATGGACTACAGCAGACATCAGGCTGTCCATCCCCTGGATTACACGCCTTATACTGAGTACCGTTATATAAACAGGTTCCCTTCTGTGTCTCTGCACATTCATAACTGTAGAACAAAAGAATGGCAGTAACTTTCTGTCCTACCTCAGTAACCTGGTGCATACACTGAGAGCATTCTCCAAAATCAGCTAATGTTCCTACTGTGTAAGTCCAAATTTTAAGAAGAATAAGTCCCACAATGAGTTTTGTCATGCTTCAGCCATGTGTGGACCAGCCAGCTTCTGGGACGCAGCTGGAGCAGGGCTCGTTGTCCTTCTCAAGGTGATTCCACAGCCGTTGTCTGGGACTGGTCTAGCTTCCCAAGTTTCAGCTGCTGCCAGCTTGATGCAGTTGTGGTGGACCCAGGCTGGGACTCCCTCTACCTTTATGGCTGTGGGAGTGGGCAGGATCACAGTCCAGGGTCCTTTCCATCATGGCTTCAGAGGGACGACATTCCAATCCTTTATCCACACTAGATCACCTGGTGAGGAAGGGTGAGCTGGGGAGAATAAGCTTACAGGGCATCTTTCATTTACCCAGGTTGAAATATCCTGAGTGATTTTTCCTAGAGCTTGTAACTGTCATCCTCAATCTCTCCCCACTCCTGAGGAGTTCCTGGGAGTGCCCACAGTATGGGAAGGGGCCTATGATATAAGACTTCATAGGGGGAGTATCCTGTTTTCTTAGAGGGAGTACATCTAATTTTGAATAACACCAAGGGAAGTGCCTGCACCCATTTTAATCCTGTTTCCTGACACATTTTCCCTAAGCTATTCTTAATGGCCTGGTTCATCTGCTCCACCCTTCTGAAACTCCCTGGTCGGTAGGCGGCGTGCAGCTTCCAAGTGATACCCAATGCCATTACTGTTTTCCAGACCAAATCAGCCACAAATGCTTATCCATTCTCTGAGCTGATGTGCAGTGGCAGTCCAAACCTGGGGATGAGATCTCAAAGAAGCACATGGGTTACTTCATGGGCCTTTTCAGTCCTAGTCGGGAAGGCCTCTACCCACCCAGAATACGTGCACACCAGGACCAACAAATACTTATGGGCATTTCAGTGAAATCTACCTGGAGATCTTCAAATGGAGCTGCTCCATAAGCTTGACTGCCAGGGAGAATAGTTGGACCTTGCCTTGCGTTGTGCTGCCGGCAGGTAATGCATCGCTGCACCACAGTTTTGGTCAGGGCCGATAAATGTGAAATGTAAGAATACTAGCCTAATAACTTCTCAAGTGACTCTCGGCCTAAATGAGTGGTTTCATGTACGGTCTGTACAACCGTGGCCCCTAATACTTGCAGCACCGCTATTCTTCCGTCTGGTAGCCAGATCCATCCCTCTTTAATTGTTTGCCCTCCCTCTGCTTGGAGAAAGTCCTTTTCCTCCTTAGAATAAGTGGGCACCAAGTCAGGTATCTGGAGAATTAGAGGAGCTGTAACTGCTGCTTGGTAGGGAACAGATGCTGCCTATGAGCTGCTGAAACAGCTCAGGCATTTCCCAGGGCCACGGAGGTGTGGGCCCACTGATGTCCTTGGCAGCGCACAACTGCTACCCTTCAGGGCCTCCAGACTGCTTCTAACAACTGCAGGATTTCATGTCGGTACTTTATTACTTTCCCACTGAATTTAACGTCTTTTTTCTTTGTATAGTGCCCCATGGACTTGAAGAGTTAGAAAGCCACACCAGGAACCAGTGTAAATGTTCACAGCCTTACCTTCACTCAGTTCTGGGGCTCAGGTCAGAGCAGTAAGTTCAACCTTCTGAGCTGAAGTACCCTGAGCCAGTGCATGGCCTTGATTACGGTGTCCAGAGTTACTGCTGCATAGCCTGCACACCTTACTCCTTGTACATTAACAAAACTGCTTCCATCCACATACAACTCCCAGTCTACTACCATCCATGGTTGATCCCGAAGATTGGGCCTACTGGAATAAACTGAGTCCAATACTTCAACACAGTCGTGTTCAACTGGGCTTTCTGACACCAGGAGCAAAGTGATGGGGTTTAAGGTATTGCAGACATCAATGGTGGTTTGGGGATTCTCACGTAGCAGGCTCTGGTATTTGGTTAACCTAGCATTTGTCAACCAATGATGTCCTTTGGTATTCATTAGAGTGCTTTGATATTTAAGTTTTGCCCCAGAGTTAGCTTATCAGCTTCTTGTGCTAGCAGAGCAGTTGCTGCCAGGGCCCTTAAACATGGGGGCTATCCCTAGGAAACTCCATCCAGCTGCTTGGAGAGATAAGCTGCAGGCCTGGTCCAAGGTCCCACTGTTTGTGTTAGAACTCCAGCTGCCATTTTTTTTTTTCTCTTTCTGACACATACAACCTGAAGGACTTTGTTAAATCAGGTAACCCCAAAGCCGGGGCTGACATAAGTTTCACGCTCAGTTCCTGAAAGGCCTCCCACTGCTGGGATCCCCCTTCAAAGGGTTCCTTGTCTCCCCACTTTGTAACTTCATATAGGAGTTTGGCCAGTTCTGTGAAGTTTGGAATCCACAACCTACAGAAACTCACAGCTCCCAGAAACTCTCTTACCTGCCTTCTAGTCTCGGGTTCTGGCAGGTTGCAAATGACTTGTTTCCACTCTGCTCCTAGACTGCGCTCTCCCTGCCAGATGGTGAACCCCAGATATTGCACTTGCTGTCAGCAAATCTGGGCTTTTCTTTTAGATATGTTATACCCACAGTCCTCCAGGTGCCAAAGTAAGGCATCTGTTCCTTTTGCATACCCCACTGCAGTGGGGTGTTCCAATAAAAGGTCATCAGCATGTTGGAGCAACATGCAGCCTAAGCCCTTAGCAGGAAATGTCTGGAGGTCATGGACTAGTGCCTCCCCAAGATGGTGGGAGAGTTCTTGAACCCCTGGGATAGCCAGGTCCAGGCAGACTGGGTGGTTACACCTGTTTCTGGATTTTTCCACTGAAAAGCAAATAGTTTCTGACTCTTTGAGGCCAGTCTAATGCTAAAGAAAGTATCCTTTAAGTCCAAGCAGGTGAACCAACTATCTTCTGCTGGCAATAATCCCAACAGTGTGTATGGGTTGGGTACAGTTGGGTGCAAAGTCACTGTAGTCTGATTAACCAAACACAAGTCCTGCACTGGCCTGTAGTCTTTGGTCCCTGGTTTAGGAACAGGCAAGAGGGGGTGTTCCATGGAGACCGGCAAGGAACTATAATTCCAAAAGCCTTCAGGCATCTGAGATGGACTAGGATGCCTTCGAGAGCTTCCCTTGGGACCAGATACTGTCTCTGATGGGTAATGACCCTGGCTTTACTTCCATAGTCACTGGGGCTTGGTTTACTGCCAGTCCTGGGGGGTCGTTCTCTGCCCAGACCTGTGGCCATCACCTGGATAGAGCAGGGGTTAATTCTCGTCCCTTGGGAGGGACTGTGAGAGCCATGATAATCCCTGTCTGAGGCAGTTTTAGCTGCAGGGAGCCCTTATCAGAGAAGGTGATAGTAGCACTTAGTTTGCTTAGCAAGTCTCTCCCCAAGAGGGGTAGGGGCGGTCCAGCATGTACAAGAACTGATATATAATCTCATGGCCTCCTACCAAACATGTCCGTGGTAGGCAAAAGGTCTGCTTTTCCAAAATTCCAATTATGTCTATTGTCTTGCCCCAATTATGTCTATTGTCTTGCTGGACAGAGGGGCCATGGGTTGCATCACCACCGAGTGTTATGCCCCAGTGTCGACTAAGAAATCAATGTCCTTGACCATGCGCTCTTTGGGGGCAATTGAGCCTGGTCCCCTTCAGTCCAGTGGCCCTTGCATTAGATTGAACAGAGCTCCTTCACTTTCATCTGAAGTCTCGGGCTTGAGATCTCCCTGTTTTCCTGTCAACTGGGTGCACTTGTCCTTCCAGTGTCACACTTCCTTACAGTAAGCACACTGGTCACGCTGCAGGCACCCCCCTCTTGCCTGTTCCCAAACTGAGGACTAAAGACTGTAGGCCAGTACAGGACTTGCACCAGCAGAGAATAGACTGGGTAGCTTTCCAGAAGCCCCCTTTCCCTGCCCTTTTGGGGGTTCTCCTGAGCTTGGCACTCCATTGAGCTTGATGCTTGTTTTCTCTATGACTTTCTCTACAGCTTACCACATCTCTGTTCATAAATACCTGGTTAGCTATGTCCAGTAACGGAGAAGTATTAATGCCTGTAAATCCTGCCTGCTTCTGTGGCTTTCTCTTAATGTCTTCTGCACACTGACTGACTAATGCCATATTTACCATGTGCTGGTTTTCGGGGCTCTCAGGATCAAAAGTAGTATATATGCAATAGGTTTCACACAGCCTCTCACAGAACTGTGCCAGGCTTTCCTCTTTTCCTCGAATAGCCTCAGACTTTACTGATGTTCGTAAGTTTCTGGGCTCCCTTTTTCAATCCTTCCAGTAAGGCCTCCTCTGTACCAGATTAGCCTTTGCATGCCCTCCAGGGTGTTTGGATCCCACTGGGGATCAGTCCCCAGTAGCTAGGCCTGACATACTCTTGGGGTTTTGGTAATCTACGGGAACATGCTCCTTTAACCCTTTGGAAGCGGCTTGGAGTACTCTCCACCTTTCATCAGTGTTAAAAAGATACATAAGCATCTGGTGGCAGTCAGCCCAAGTGGGGTTATGAGTCTGGACAATAGTTTGCAGTAGGTCAATGAGAGCTTCAGGCTTCTCAATATAAGATGGGCTGTTATTTTTCCAGTCGATGAGATCAGCTGACGTGAATGGCAGGCACGTGAAAACACATCTTTCCACTATGTGGCCATCCTCATCCACTCCCAAATACCTCTGCTCTCTTAAAGGCATCTGCACCCCTGCCTTGGGTAGCAGACGGGCTGCTAGAGGGGGAGTTCCTCCCAGGAGGCAGGTGGCTGTGGAACGAATCTCTCCGCATTCATTCTTGTCTAGTTTAGGGGTGTGCAATTCTAGCGGGGGTGCTGAGGTTTCAGGCCCAGGCCTATCCTTCCTCCTGATAAGGGGGAGGTATCGTTGGCAAAGGCTCTTCTGCTGGTAGATCTGTCAGGACCTTAGGAGTCTGCGTACCTCGGTGGGTGGAGCGGGGTTTCTCCCTAGCTGCCTGCCCCTTTGCCATCAGTATGGTTGCTGCCTGTCCTCTTAGCCACTGTGGGTGATTTAGAATGAGCTGCAGCCATGGGTCTATATACAGAAATTGATCAGGGTGTCCCGGCTTGCATGTAACCTTATGCCATACTTTGGTGACGAGAGACCTGTCTAAGCTTCCCTCTGAGGGGCAATCCACCCCAGAGGCTGGTCAGTCTACCTCACACAAGGTCCTCAGCTTTCCTGGTGTCATAGTCACGCCATAATCTCCACCAAATCCCTTCTTGAAATTTTTCAGCATGGTCCCCAGAGGAGTAGGCTTGCTATGAATGTGACCCATGTTTTTTTGCACAGAAACAGCACTCACAGGCAGTGAAGAGAGCCGCACTCCACCCTCAGTTTCTCTCGCCCTGCACAGCACGACACATTCTCTTTCATTTTCACTTCAGGCCAGTAGGTGAGTCTCCCTCTCAGGAGTGTTTCAGATGCTGCTTGGCATTGGAGAGTTCATTACTCCCCCCACAATATCTGGGTTGGGAGGGCACCTTTTTCTACCTGTATGTGGATTGCCCCTAATCCCAGCTGGCCTCACAGTGTGCCTGGAGCTTACAGTCTCCTCTAATGGACTTGCCACTTCCACATTTCATGGCTGATGAGTCTAATTGGATGCCTCCAATCACTCACACAATCATACACCACCCACCACCCAAACTGAAACCAAAAACAAGACTTCCAAGGTTAGTTACAGAGAGAGAGAAAGAGCCAAGTTCTGGAGTGCCAATTTCGGCACGTATGGGTGATCAGGCCACCCTTCCACCTAAAGGAGATGGGCAAGTTTCCCAGGACTGGTCCTACCGTGTTTCTGTCGTCAGACACTTCAGGTACCTGTTCCTTCTCAGTGTTTAGCCAGTGTGTGAATCCACTATGGGGGCCTACCCTGCTTTGTTCTGGCGAGGCGTTCCACTGGGGCCAGTGCCTGCCGGGGAGCACTCTCAGGACTTGTGTCGCCCAAGTGGGCTGGAGTCCCCTGAGGGGATGCCCTGCAGGGCAAGGCAACACTGCCTGGGAGGCTGTCCCTGCTGTCTGCCAACCAAAACTTGCTTCCTGAGTAGCTGTGACCACAGGTACATGTCACCATGCCTGGCTAATTTTTTGTATATTTAGTAGAAATATGGTTTTGCCATGTTGCCAAGGCTGGTCTTGAACTCCTGAGCTCAAGTGATACTCCTGCCTCAGCATTCCAAAGTGCTAGAATTATAGGCATGAACCACTGCATCTAGCCGAGAGCAATTTTTAATAGCAACAGTGATGGTAATGATGGGAGCTCCATACCAAGTGCTAGGCACTGCACTGACAGCATTCCGGTCATTATCTGTTCAGCACTTGCTAGGTTTCGGGTGTTTTCATAATATTTCACAGCTGCAATAGGCTGTACTGCAGGGCCTGGCTTTGTGCATGGGGGTTGAGAAGGAGAGCCCTGCATACCTATGTGTCATCTGCTAATAAAGTAGAGTATATATAGAGAGAGATATAGTATATATACTCTTCAGAGAGAATATATATAGTACATATATAATCACATGACTATATATATTTGTTTATATAATAAATATATATATCTGTTTATATAGAATCAGATGACAATACATACAAATATAGATATATTTGTTTATATATGTTTATATAGAGAGAATCAGATGACAATATATACATATATATATATATATATATATATGTATGTATGTATGTATGTTTTTAATTAGAGATAGGGTTTTGCCATGTTGCACAGGCTGGTCTTGAACACTTGGGCTCAAGCAATCCTCCTACACCAGCCTTCCAAAGTGCTGGGATTATAGGCATGAGCAACCATGCCCGGCCTACTTCTCATTCTTGAAAATATTTTTAAAAATCTTATAAAGCACTTTTTCCTTGTAGGAACTCTACTCACAGGTTTTTTTTCCTCAATGGCAGGACATCTTATGGGCATGTCTTGGAGGCTTTAGCTGGTAGAGTTGGGCCAGGAAGGGAGAGAAAGGCACGCAAAGCAAAGACTTCCCAGGTGTAGATAATAATCCAGATGACGGGACCTGCACAGGTTGATTCTGGAGGTTCCTGAGGAAGTATATTTGTGAAGAGTGGAACTTAGAGATTTAGCATAGCGAGCCTGCTCTCTCACTTTAGGAGGCTCTTTCACACAGGACAAAATGAAGCACCCGAATGCCTTCGTCCTGATGAGTACCCACTAGCCTGGGCTCTGGGGACTTGCTCTCAGGCTTTCATTTCCCTGCAGATGTTCCATTTAGAGATGCTCAAGACCGTAGGCCACTTGAGTTCATTGGCCTATTGGGAGCCTTAGGCTTGTCTTGCCAGAGCACCTCCACAGTGTTTTGGAAACAGGTGGGTTGGGATTGACCAAAACCGACATGACTAATGGCAAATGTTACCAGGGTTTGGGTCAACTTTCTCTGACCACGGAAAGAAGAACCGTTGGTTGTCCTTGCTAAGGAACCTCATATGTGCCAAGTATTTAATGTGTTGCTAGGAATATTCCTACCAATAATTAATAATTAAGCCCAGAATTCATTTTTGGGTCTTTGTTGGGTTTTTCTTTTCTTTTTTCTTTCTTTTTATGACTCAACCATTAGCTTGTGTGATGAAATATAAAACTGAAATCTGGTAGTCACTAGCTACTTAAAACACCTTTAATGGCTTCCTGCTTTTCTTAAGAGAAAGACTTAAAACATTGATTAGTGACGCCTAGTCCCTAGGTAGTCTCAGTCCTACCCAGCTCTCCAGCCTCATTCCTGGCCCTGTACCTGCTCTGGCCTCTGCTTTGCCCCTTGGACTACCCAGATCTCCTATTTCCACAAATGCACCCACGCTCTCCTGTGCAGGGTCTTCCCATTAGAAAAGAGCAGTCCTCCACTGAGATGGTTCTCTCTCCCTCTTCACTCTCAGTTAACTCTGTGTCACCTTTTAAATCTCTGCTCAGATATTCCTTGTTTGGAGATGCCTTTCTTAACCTTCTTGGTTAGGTGGTTAGGTTCAACCCTTTTAACCTTATGTTCTTTTTTTTGCATCGGAGTCTTGCTCTGTCACCTAGGCTGGAGTGCAGTGGTGTAATCTTGGCTCACTGAGACCTCCACCTCACAGGTTCAAGCGATTCTCCTGCCTCAGCCTCCTGAGTAGCTGGGACTACAGATGCCTGCCACCATGCCCGGCTAGTTTTTGTATTTTTAGTAGAGACAGGGTTTCACCATGTTGGCCAGGCTAGTCTTGAACTCCTGACCTCAGGTGATTCACCTGCCTCGGCTTCCCAAAGTGCTGGGATTGCAGGCGTGAACCACTGTGCCTGGCCCCTTATGTTCTATTAAAGTGTGATATTCTCCTTTATTGGAACCTTTATCCCAACTGTTTTGTCAGACTTATTTTTTGATTCTTTGATTCATGTCTGTCTTTCCAACTAAATCTCCTGCCACAAGGGCAAGGACTGTGTCTGGTGCCACTGACTACTGTCTCTTGAGTGCCTGCAGTGTGACAGGCATTTAATCAGTATTTGTCCGATAAGTGACAGAATGAACAAATGACAAAAATGAATGAAAGATCAAACAAACCCTCGTTGAGAGATTACAAAACAAAAAATTACTTGAATATATGAGTTATTTATTTAGAGCAAAATGGAGTTATCACTGTGATACCTAAATTATTCATATAACACACAGAGTTTTCTGGGGGGAGGGTAGAATCCCATAACTAAGCAAGCCTCACATACAAGATGATAGATGGCTATTATGTATTTTTTCCTTCTCTGTATTTTTCTTAACGGAAGCAAATGGAACTTTCCAAATATCACTGTATGATTGGAAAAAGTGAAACAGTCTGTAGTGCCATTTTGGGGGAAGGAGGGGGAAGAAGGGGAAAAGAGTCTGAAAAGGGTTTATGTTTGCTAATAGAAGTCAGATGTAGTACTCATTTTATGTTACTTAAGTAATGTGTTTCATTTTCTCCATTAGTGGTCTTGTCCAGCATAGGATGTTTAGAGGAAGTTGCACTAAGATAAGTGTATCCTTTAAATTCTGTGCCTTTCAGACCTTAGCAGTCTGCTGACTCCAGCTTTCAGCAGAGCAGAAACAACGCTTAGGGAAGGCTTAAAACAACTTTGAATAAGAACCTGCTTGAGAAAGATTTCCCTTACAAGCTAAATGTTACATTTCCACTCAACAGAAAGGTACTGCTGTGTGGCCATAAAAGCCGGCCAAAACTCGGTAACCTTTGCAGTTAGTCATGTTATTTTTGGTTCATGCCAACATGGATCACAGCTGTGACTCAACAGAGCCACTGAAGCAAGAATTCAAAGAGTTTAAAGAACAGCAAACTCAGAAATGACTATTTTTTTCTTATGGTGTCATTACGCAACATTTCTTGTAGTTTACCTTTTCAAATTTACCAACTCCGTACAGATGAGCTCAGTCGTTGTTTGGCAAATGAAAATCTGAGTTGCGTCAGCGCACTTCCCCAAATCCCACTGCAGGCGGAGGATGATGGAGCTTTCCTTTCTGGGGTGTTTGTTTTACGTAAGTAGTGACTTACTTTTCAGAGGCAAAAAAAAAAAAAAAAAAAAATCTGTGTTGATATATGTCTCCCTCAAATAAACCAAAAATAGGATTGGGGGTTGATTTAAATGTTTGCAGTTCCCCATTTGAAGATGACAGAAAGCCCATATTGACTGGTTCTGCTTTTGTTTTTGTTTTTCACCGATTTGTATTCACAAAATGAAGCCATAAGCTTAGACCTCACCAAATGGAAAACAAGCATGGACTTCAGCAGATTTATCAACATCCTTTAGATTTCTGCTTTCATTTTTAAAATTACCATGTAAACTTGAAGACAACCCCAGTTTTCCCATTTGTGGGAACATAAGAAAGGGAGATGAAAAAAATCCTATTTGTCTCTTATCTATGAAGTACTTTTGTGTAAAATTTTTTAACCTGAAGAACTACATTATCATCAATATGAAGTACTGTTTTTTTTTTTTTTAAGCATTATGGTTAGACTTAAGAATTCTAAGGACTAAAGTATTAAGATTTTTTTGTTGTTGTTATTGGCTGATCATTAATCAAATGTTCTTCCTGATTAGTTTTCTCTTTGGGAAGACAGATCCAGATCATGATCTGGAAAACCAAAGTAGACATTCCTTTATCAACTAAGAAGGACTTTAAAGTTAACGAAAAAGTTGGCCATGCGTGGTGGCGCATGCCTGTAATCCCAGCACTTTGGGAGGCTGAGATGGGTGGATCACGAGATCAGGAGTTCAAGACCAGCCTGCCCAAGATAGTGAAACCCTATCTGGGTGACACAGCAAGACTCTGTCTCAAAAAACAAAACAAAAAAGAAACAAAAAGTTACCTATGGATTAAGAGCTCAGGGTCTAGCTGGCATTGAAAATTTCTAAATTCCTGTAAGAAAGTCCATACTCTCACTAAACTCCCTAACAATAGGAGCTATTTGGCAAATTATCCTAACTCCAATTTGCAACCCAGACCACTACTATTCTGAATGGACCGAGGATGAGCCTTACAAACATTCGTTTCTGATGAGCAATTGCAGACCTTAAGCCAGTTTCAGCCAACACACAGTGACTTTGTGTCCTATAGTTCACCTTTTGCCCCAAAGTGAATATGGGATGTATATTATATGTTTGTTTACTCATTGTGCCTGTGCTCAGCTCTCCTCATCAATGTGTATAGCTTCTTCCCACACCTGCTGAATATGTGCGACTCTATTGCATAATACAGACTCTGAGAGGCAAGAAACCCAACCTGTCCTTTCCCTGTTTGAAGAGAGACTGTCTTTGGTCCACTCTGGAGATGTTCTCTTCCAGCTTGCAATTGATATCACCAATAAAGCTCTTCTTTCTACTGTGTAGCCATCCTGGTGGTCTTTTGGGTGATGGGTTTTTATGTCCCATAGTTATACCCATTGCTTAGGCTTACCATATAGAAAATGCCATCTACAGACACAGCTCTTCATTTAAGTACCTAAAGGTAAGTTAAAAATATGCAAACAGGCTGGGCGCGGTGGCTCATGCCTGTAATCCCAGACCTCTGGGAGGCTGAGGCGGGTGGATCACCTGAGGTCAGGAGTTCAACACCAACCTGGCCAACATGGTGAAAACCCATCTCTACTAAAAATACAAAAATTAGCTGGGTATGGTGGCATGCACCTGTAATCCCAGCTCCTCAGGAGGCTGAGGCAGGAGAATCACTTGAACCCAGGAGTTGGAGGTTGCAGTGAGCCGAGATCACGCCATTCCACTCCAGCCTGGGTGACAGAGTGAGAATCCATCTCAAAAAAAAAAAAAAGTGAAAACCCCATTCTAGAGGTTTACTTCCAATAGCAAAGATGTTGCCCTAAAAGAAAATACATTTCTATGATACCCTTTGGGTGTGGTAGGGAATTTTATACACCTCCATAAGGCAAGTATAT